AACCCTAACCCTAACCCTAACCCTAACCCTAACCCTAACCCTAACCCTAACCCTAACCCTAACCCTAACCCTAACCCTAACCCTAACCCTAACCCTAACCCTAACCCTAACCCTTGAGGTTAGGTCCCGCTGACAAATATTTGGTTCCGTGTGCAGCTGATCTATGTCCCCCACGTTAATGGCGTTAACATGTTTACCGCTGTTACCGACGGGCCACAGCACTGGTAACGGTTCTCTCAACTGCAAATAGATATCCGATTGCGATTGCAAGTATCCAGGGACAATATTACATATCCTACAATTCACGAGTGTAATGAGTGGTTGAGCGCGTACATATGCAGTGACGTGCAGAAAGGAAAAGAGAAACACTGGATGATTGGGTATCTTACAAACGGCTTGGACCAACAACAATCCGATTGAGTCCCCCGTCCCTTCCGCTTGAGAGGTTCTAGCTTCTTCCTGATATCCCTCAGTGCTGCAGTCTTTGGCTTCCAGTCGTCAAACGCTGCACGGAGCTCCTCAATCTCAGACAGGAACCATTCTTGTGCGGCGGGGTGAGTGACAAGTTCGTTCAGGATCCACGGTATTTCGTAGTCATTAGACGACTCGCGTGCAGAGAAAGGCTCCAGCTCGAGAGGAGGGAGCGGTCCGGGAGTGTTGTTGGTCTCGAAAAGGAAGCGTACGGCAAGTGTGTAACACGCCATCATATACAGAACTGTGGCCGACGCCGTTGGGCGAGCCAGCTATCGCTTTGGACAGGTGGACAACAAGGCCTCCATCGGTGAGGCCCGCATTTCGCAGGCGAAGGCAGAGGACAAGGAGGTTAGTGAGGAAGTCTGTCGAACTGTAGGCATCGCCATCGATGTACAGACCGCGAAGGATGAGCGGATATAAGGCGTTCACAAACGCGCGAGAGTAGATGGGCACAACTTGGTCGTTGAGCGAAGCAATGTAGATGAGCTTGCAGCCATGGTCGAGCACTCTTCCAGAGCCGACATGTACCGCTTCGACACGTCGCTCACCGTATCTTGAAAATCGAAGAGCTCACGCGCTGCAGCCGTCTCCACATAATGAAGCCAAGGCTGTGTGAGGACGCTGGTATTGAGGTAGAGGAGCGGGCCGAGATGGATTCCACACAGCGCGAGGCAAACGACTCGCTGTACCTTCCTCGGGATGGCTGGTCCTTGGGTCTCAAGCTTTACGATCGTCTCACCCGCAGTCTGCTCCGGGTAACCAGTATAGATGTGCCCTTCCTCGAGCAACCGGTCCATGATCTGGCAAGTCACGATCGATCCCTGAGAATGGCATGCGAAGAGGATGACATCGGCTTGGTGGATGTCGTTCATCCACATTTCGTTAGACTTGAGTGTCGAGTAGAGTTTCTCCAACCTGTGTGCGATTGTTCTCTCCCCTTCGAGGGGAATCTCTGTGAGTGTATCAAGCTTGATGCGTGCTTCTCTGTATGGGATTAAGCTAGGTGCGCTAGTTGACAAAAATACGAGAGCTTACGAAGGGAATCCAACAAGGCATCCCTCTGCATCTGGGCGAACTTTGCACTCGTCCCCGTCGGCTCTCCCAGCACACTCCTCAACATCCCTCCGGGAAACCAGCCATGGATACCAACGATGACAGCCCGCCTGACAGCCCTCATCTCACCAAGCCGGTCAACGCCGATGACAGCCCAGCTGCGAGGCATCAGCGCTGGCATGCCCTCAAGCTTCATTCGCTTTACCTGGGACTTTTCCTGCATCGCTTTGCTGCTAGCCGAGAGGGGAACTGGTACCTCTTCTCCTTCCCGTCCCTTGCCCTTCTCCAGACGGCGCTGATACTCCGCCAGCTCAGGATCGATCAGCACTGGGCAGTAACTGGGCGGCGCGCCAAGGAACTTGTTCACGTAGCGCATCGTCTTCTTCAGTGCGCCAAACGGCTTCCCGTCCGCCTCCGGAGGGCGGAAAGACAGAGGGGATGGTAAAACACGGCCTGGAATGTAGGTAGGAGGAAGTTCGGCAAAGGCGGTGCAGGCTCGGCCTTGTCCTTCTTGGCTGTCACAGAAACAGCACGCTTACTGTCCGCAAGTGCCTTCTTAAGCTTGGGGTTGACAGTGAGCGGAGGGCCAGGGACATCTTTAGGCTCAGGCGTCGGAGCTTTCGGGGGGCTGTTAGTGCAGGAGCAGAACCAGGTGATGTGCCCGCTTTAATCCTCCCTGGCTTACTCCCCATTCCACCGACCAGAGTAGTCTTGAGCGTATCCTTAGGCAGACTGCTCGGTTTGACATCTTTTCCCACATCTTTCTCCCCAGGACCGGGCTTGAGAGGCTCCTTAGACGCGCACCGAGCCGCCCTTACCGCTTCCTTGGCAGTCCAGGCAGCTTTGGCAGCTTCTTGAGCAGTACTGCGCTTCGATCCTTCCTTAGCAGTGGTAGAATTGGGGGCGTTCATGATATGTTGGGGATGCTGCTCGACGGTGTCTGGATGGCACTGAAGGACGCAACGGCCGATGAGGGTCTTGGAGATGTCCCGGCATCAGCCTGTGCTGTCGGAGCAGTAGCACCACTGCCACCAATCCCACTCCCAGTCACACTGGATGTCGTCCCACTCCCACTACCCGCACCGCCTACCGCACCAGTGCCAACAGGACCTCCCACACCCCCGCCAGCTCCCGTACCTGTCGCCTCCTCATGAATCATCATGACCTCCATTCCCTCTCCCTGCTTGATCAATGGTCGTGCTAGGTTCCGCCCTCCGGAGAAGAAGCTGACCCACATGGGCATGTTGCTCTGTGTTGTCAGAGGGCTTGCGTGCGCTTGTGTTTGAGGAAGTTCCGTTGGGGTAGGTGTAGACTGGGGTTGAGCCTCTGTAGCAGGTGAGGGTTGTACGGCGGGAGATACGGCGTCTGAGCGTGCAAGAGCGTCCTCTTTCACCCTCTCCGCCTCTGTCTTCTCGTGCCCCTCCTTCCCCAGCTCTCCAGGATGTACGTCCGCAGACGCGGCAGGTACGGAAGGAGCAGTATACCAATACCACGGTTGGTACCAGACGTTCTTCGTTTCCGCCGAGGTGAATGACATAGCTGGCTGTTTGGGACTGGGGTCGGCGTTAATCTTGAAGTTGGTGCTGTTAGGTGGCTGCTGTTGGGGTGAGAGAAGGCTTGGAGAGAGGGGGGGAGAATATCGGCCGACTCCTGGGTAGAAGGAGGGACGGGCAGGGGAAGCAGGTTCGTGCTCGGGGACGATTCTTTAACGGAGGAGGTGCTAGGTGTAGAGAAACCGAGATAAGACCACCACCAGGCAGCCTCCGCTGCGGCTTGTTCTGCCCTGCGTTAGCCTAGAAATGAGAGGGGGAAGAGGGGCAGCGTACTGGATTCAGTGTTGTCCCCCGCCTTTTTCGTTTCCTGCGCCTCTTCGTCCGGAGGCGGGACGACCATGATTTCCGTCTCTTTTGGTTCTCCTGCTTTCACGACCTCTCTCCCGGCGCCATCTTCTGTAGCCTGTTCCTGTCCATTTTCTGAATGTTCCTGGGCTTGGGCTTGGGCTTGGGCTTGCACTTGCTCAGCACCCGACAGCCTCACGACTTCTACGGTCCTCTTCGTCCTCCCTCCAAGAAGAGGCAGGCTGAAAGTATACCTCAGCGCACCAGCGTTAAGTGCTGCTAGCCCACTGGGCTGGGCTGGGATGATCTGCCCTCTCTGTTCCTGTCCTTGATCAAGAGATGACGCAGGTGAGGACCCAGGCTCGGGAAGGCGGAGAAATGCAGGCGTGGGGACACGCGTGTCGGGGGATTCAAGGGTGATGAGGGAAGGCACTGGTATTGAAGGCCCTGAAGCTGCGGAGAGGTGTGAGGTGACGGACTGCGTGCGGGTGTGGGAAGGGCGAGCGAGCGAGCGAGGAAGGGGAGCAGCGGGAATGGGAATGGGAGATGTTGGCCGGGGTGTGGGAGTGAGAGAGGCGGCAGTAGGAGTGGTCTGCAGAGTCGGAGGAGCGGATGTTGGCTCTGCCGTTGCGGTGTCTGATGGGAGACTGTTGATAGGTAGGTCCTGACACCGGGACAGTATATTTACATGCCCAGCATGTCTGATCAAAAAATGCGATGATGGAAACTCGATTGCATATATAGAAACGTTCAGACAAGCTGCTACCTGCTGAATTCATCCTTGGTTTGGTGTCAGCGTCGCATCGTAGCTTTCGAAGCGCTCGTCTGATTCCAAAAGCCCGTTTGACTCTCGTGCAGAGGGTCTCCTCTCTCGGCTTCTTCCCCGCATGTCTTCGTCATCAGAATCGTGTGCGTCGTTGAAATCCATGGGCTTTCGATTTTTGTACATCTGCCCTTGAAGAACTATGACGAGATCGAAGAGCAAGACCCCACCGCTGCCTAGCAAATATCTGTTTGCAAGGTCAATTCCTCGTCTGCGCGCAACATGGGATCATACGAACGGGATGGACTCCATGAGAAACGCGCTCGCATCCTGCCCTATTGCGAGGGGTGACGTGAGGATAGAGAGGACGTAGAAGAAGTTGCCAAAAAACGCGCAAACGAAAAGGGACATAGATAAACCCTGTTGTTCTGTGTGAATTGTGCGTTGTTAGTCCGGTGCAATAGGCATACCTCGACGCTCTTGCGGACAAACTTAAAGCACAGTCAGACAAGTGACTGGTTTCATGAATAAACGGACTTACATTTTTCCAGATCTGGGGCAATCTAGACGTAAGGTAGAGAGTCGTACAAGTCCAGGCAGAGACGCGACCGAGAATGCGCTCCGTGTCTGCTTCACGAGAAGGTTCAACAGTCATCGGCTGGAGAACATGGGAGTCAGATGAAGCAGCTCTGAGGAACGGCATATCCAAATTCGGCATTGGTGCCTCGACCTCTCCAAGAACTTGGCCCGCAGGAGAGAGATGCCGCACGTCATTGAAGGATGGATATCCAACACGGATTAGGGTGCCAACCGCAAGGAATACCATCCCTGCCTTCCGCACTCCTATGCTGCTGTTGCGCTGCTTGCTTGTGGAGCGCTCGGCAAGGCGCTGGCGTTCTACAGACAAGACACGTTCATATATCTCCTCTATTTCCACTGGGTTATCCTCCGCATTCCCATGTTCCCGCAAGAGGCTAAGTCGCCGTAGCCCTCGCTCGATCTCTAGGCCGATGCTTTTGCTGCGACCCCTGGCATCTGACACGTTGGCAGACCGAGGTAATGACGCGTAGCTGTAACCAGGAGTACCAGTAAGGTTTACCGGTGGTGGAAGAAAGTATCGAGAGAAAGGGGTATAGTAGGCGTATTGGGAGATCAAGCAGACGTCAACGAAGCAGAAGTACGATGCCAAGTATGTCTGGAAGGGCAGTTGATGGGTTAATAAGCAGCCTAAACAGATTGAATGAGTCGAAAATCATGGTAGGTGGCTGCACACGCACCGATGAGATTTGTTAGATCTCCTGGACAGAACATCAACAAAGAACGGTGGCGTGTGATGAGTGAATGAACATGCCGAATAGCCAGTTTACTAAGAAGGGAAACGCCAATCCTTCCGCACTTTGCAGTTTCCAGTTTACAATGATCTGGCTGTGAATCTGTCAGTGTGTATGGTCATAGATGTGGAGCATATGAGCGCACGGAAATTGAGCGAACAGCCATGAGAGGATAGAGGTGTAACCCAGGAGATCAGAGATCGTGAGTGGCATTGTTGGAGTTATTGAACGAATTGTGGTTTGATGCAGTGTATACTGATACAGGTCGTCTCTATAGTCTATATGAGAAGAGGAGGCAAGAAAGGGGGCCGGTGGTCGCAGCGGGATGATGACAGCAAACGGGTTAGGAGGGACAGACGACCAGCGCAGTGCGCACTAATGCGGGTCTGCTGATAATGGAGGCGCGTGCCGCACACCAACTTCCTCCAATCCGCCGCCGCCACTGATATGCCGGCGCTTAAGACGCAAGGTATGAATTTAATTAATCATATCGTTACCGTAGCACATGACTACCGTGTCCTACCTCGGAGTTCAACGTGACGTCCGAGTTACAACAATGTGCTAGACTCCAAACCTCCCTCTGTATGAAACTCCTTCCTGACCAGTGGAAATAAGTCTCCAGCAGGGATCCATTAATGAAGAGCACCACCGACCCATGTCAAAAGAAGTGCTAGGCGGGAGATGGTTCCTGTGCAAATAGGAACGCATGGCACGCAACCGTGAAGACTCGACTGTGCCCACCAGTTGCGACCTTATCGCCGTCTTCCCCTCCTCCACTCGAAGCCATGTTACTCCATTCGTGCGTATTTCCTCACTCTCGCGCGAGCGATTCCACGATGTTGGCGATGTTAGTAGTCAGAGCGTGGTGCATGAATGTTGGTTGGATTGTGTTACTGAACGGTCAGCCAGTCCTGACCCGTGCTGAAAAGGTCAAGCCAGGACGCAAATGATCAATATAGGTATAGATGAAGAACTTGTCCTTGAACCAAGCATAACCAAGCCAATGACCATCACTTGGGCGGCTGAATATTACGAGACGAATGGATGGGGCAAAATAAAGTTTGTATACGACCGTTGTGGCGACAACGCGTTCCAGGGCAGATGGCAGCATTCCAAAAGTCACCGTACTCTACCCGCCGCCGTCTTCACTCTCCAAGTATTCTACCTTCACTCCATAATCACTCCTTACGACTTATATCTGCACTCCCTCTACTCCGCTCTTTGTGGCTTGTCTGAACGGTCGTGGCGTCCCTGATACCAGGCAACGCATAAACGACCACAATTACGCTCATTACCCGACACTCTTTTCTGTACTACAACACTGTCTCATCTCTCAGATCGTAACCCTCTTTCCTGATGCCGGTGCTGTACTATCCAGCGCCTTCAATCATATGGCGCGATATGACATCAAGATCGTCGCCGACTGCTCTGCCGAACGCGGACGTTGACGACCCACAACCGTCCTTCATTCATTTCTCGACCCTGGCTCTCATTCTCATCAGCATTTCCGTATTCCTCGTGCTCACCCTTGTCCCCGTCCTGGTCTGTCTCGCTCGGAGGCAGGGCAAGATACCAAAACTTGCCATTTCAAAACCAAGACAACGCGAATCAGCCTGCCCGATCGTCTACACTTCCTACTCGACCGCGGATCTCCGAGTGTTACCTGGCCTTCCTGACCCGCCTTCCTTCGCTGGACGATTCGAGTACTACAACGCATCTGGCGGGATGGTGAGTCTGAAGGATGTGATCGTGGAAGATGAGAAACCCGGGTTCCTGAAGACCTCAGATCGTCCCCACCTGCTGGATCAGAACGCGATCTCTCCCGTTACTCTCACATTTTCTCCTGCATTGCGCAGAAACGACTCCTCAATCTCCGACGGACTGTCCGACTACTCCAAATCTCAGGCCATAGCCTCGCTGCGCGATTCGGACATCATGTCTTACTATCTGAATACCACAAAGGCGTCGCTCGGGCTGCCGTCCCCTCTATCCCCGGCTTATTCGGCAAGAGACCCTTTCAGGGCATTTCAAACACGGAGAATAAAGCCCCCGAGCGCAGACATCTCTCGAACTCCGTCCGAGTTCTCGGTTTCCATTAATGGAGATGGACTCTCAGAACATACACAAGTCCACCGGCGTTACAGTGGCTCATCGCATCGCATACCCAATGCGCCGCCTCGCATCCCAACGCTAGTCGGGTTAGATGCCTTCAGCACGATAGGGACCGCAATGATGAAGCCCACTTCGCCGTCCATCGGAACAACTGTGATACAATCACCTCAACCGCCGCAGCCAGCCTTCCAGCCGGTCATGTCGTACAAAAGCTCTAAATTTGATCAGGACACAACTAGGTCGCACTTCTCACCGCCCACGCCCCTCTTATCACCGATGCCGGAAGAACCCCGAAGGGGCAGCGATTTTAGTTTCAGCAGATTCTATGGGAGCTACGCACCGATAACCCCGCAGCCAGCAACCGGCCAAATGCCGCGCAGCCAAACGTTGGGAGAGAAGTTCAAGCACCGGAGGTTTTCAAGTGAAGTGAATGCTCGTTTTGCTGTTGGCTTAGGATTGGACCTGTCAGGACGGGCAGGATACATCTGATGGAAGTCGCCGCTAGCGCGGAATCCTCCTTGGATGTTTTCTCATTCTTTCGTTGGTGATATTGATCAGCCTCATGTAGCGCATGTCTGTATAGCATTCGTACACTTCAAATGTCATTCCCAAATATTCAACATCTTTCACATTCCATCCGATTATGGTTGGCCCTGTTTGTCGCCGTCAACTCATAACCATCGTAAGCTCTCTGCGTCGCAATCAAAAAGATCTGGATAGCGGCTTCCCAGCTCGTCAAACACTCCAAGATCGGTCACACGATCAGTGAAATATTTTGCCGCTACACATGTTTGTCTGCACAGGACACAGACGGTGCACGCTGAGCTCTCGGGGTCCTCGTGTAGCATCGGGACAGAAGGACAGGGGGGATCACGTAACAAACAGTCTAGCGTGATCTAGCGTGAGCGTGTTGATGAGTCAGCGAGATTGCATGACTTCAAATGAAGAAAAGGTTAGGGCAAGATCATCTGATGATTCAATTTGGCCTAGGACACTTGTCATCATCAATACATTCCTACCACATCCGTTGGTCTGAAACATGCTTGTCGACGAGGGTGCGCCATGCGATGCACCTTGTGACAGTTGTATGAGAGGGTTTTTCCCGCATGTAGTCCGCCCGGCTAAACGGTAATAATGGGTTGTACGATGGAGATGAGGAAGCGCCCGGGGACGGGTGCAGCGGACAGCCCCAATGACTGACGCGTGCCACAGAGACAATTCAACGTTGCCCCGCGTGTCTTTAAGCGAGCGCTTGTTACAAGTTCGAGACTGTTCTGGACCGCCTGCAAGGTATATTCCTCCACCCCTTTCCTCTCCAAGCTCAGCGCCGGTTTCGAGGGCAGATACGTAGGAAAAGGTGGTTCGTTATAGCCTCCAGGGGAGTAGCCAAAAAGTGGGATGCAGGGTACAGGTATGGGAAGAGACCCGGAGCCGTGAGACAGATGCCGCTCGCCGGGGGACCCGGTTCTGACACCGCCTTCTTCGCTTGCGTAAGCAAGGCCGGGTTGGTCATGAAAAGTTCACGTCACTTTCATCGGCCTCCTCTACTCCGACCTATCGTCTCCAATGTCCCCGATTGAATTACCGATCAATCTTCGTCCTCAACACAGCATTGAGGGCATTACTTTGTATCAGGCTGGATCCTGCACGCTTCCGCTCTAACCCTGAGACAACTCCAGTTCCCGACTACCAGGAGGAGGCCTACCTTGGATATCAATTTTGCCCAAAATATCCCTCCCGCTTGGCGTTCTCATACTGCAAGTGTTCCTGGAAAGTCGGAACGTGGAGAAATGGATAAGCTGTGCCTCAATACCAGCTCTTCCAAACAGGGGCCGTCTTAGGTGGCTCGTGCATGGCGCCACGAGACGACCTGTGCTTCCTCTCTCCCTGGTCATTTAACCATCGATTGCACGGCCAAGCAGACATAACTCACTGCCATCAGGTTAATCGCGAAGGGTTCCTTACTGCCCTCGTGGACGGTCGTGAAGATCTCTGGTCCATCATCTCGCGTGGCATCTGCTTCAACTCCATTATCGTCTGATTTCTATTGCGGCCCCTCGTTGCGAAGTAGAATATCTGCCGTGTGACGTCTTTTTCACGCTAGTGATTCAACCCTTGTTTTCCCTCGTGGCGACTCTGCCCCTCTGCCCCTCTGTTGCGTTCGGAGAACGTCTTGCTTCGGCTACCGTCCACTTGGCCACCGTCGAATCGTGCGCAGTCTATCGGACAGCTTCCCAGCTAGATGTCGTCTGCAGTGCTCTCATCTCGAGTGCCGATACTGTATGAAGAACGACAGATAAATACCAACCTGTCTCAAAATGTATCGACAGAACTTGTCGAAGACGCGGTATACCCAGCAAGTGCATCCTCGACGCCAACTCGACCTCATAAAGATATGTCTTACCCTTACCAACAAAAGCCGACCATTGCTGTGTGCGGCGCGACTGGGCTTCAGGGAGGTTCTGTGGTCCGCTTCCTGTTGCAGGACGGCGCTTTTCATGTGAGGGCTCTCACACGGGATGTGACGAGCCCAGCTGCTCTCCGTTCGTATTTGGGGAGAACTCCCGGTGTTCAAAATTGACTTGCTCACAGAGTTGGCTGCTAACGGGGCTGAAGTGGTTCGGTGCGATTATAATGATGTTCCTTCAATTCATGCGGCATTCTCCGGTTGCTATGGGGTCTTCGGAGTGACAAGTTGTAAGTTGTGTTGGCTGCGGTATTTGGACGCGACTGACGGAGTGCCTTAGCGTGGGAGAGCGGTCCAGATGCGGAGCGCCAGCAAGGTTATAACCTTGTATATTGCGCAAAAGCTGAGGGCATTCGTCACTTTATTTGGTCGACTCTGGAGCGAGCCGCATTTCCGATACCTCATCGTGACTCAAAAGATGACATCGACTCGTATCTGCGTTCAAGTGGAGTGCCTTTTACCAGGTGACTTTTGTTCCCAGCAGGGGGTGACACGTTCTTACATATACGTATGTTAAGTCTGGTTGCAGCTATGACCTTTGAATCGATGGCCGATTCTACCGTAAGGAATGCTCTTCGTATTCAAAGCAGAATTCGCTGACGATGTACGATGTCAGGTCCTGAAGCCGTCTCGGGGGGGACTCGTAGGAGAATGGGCAATACCTACTGATAGCGGAATTCCTTGGTGTGATATTCCCTCCTGCCATCGTGACAGAATTCTAACGAAGATGGTAGCTTCTGTGCAGCCGACACTGGCGGATTTGTATCAGCGGTCCTGAAGAACCCGCAATCGTGGTTAGGTTAGCACGCTTCCTTCCCACTCACCTACCTAGACTGACTGTTAGATAGGTCAGACGCTTACTATGATCACGGACTTCGTGTCGCCGAGACAGTACTTTCAGCTTTTGGGCGACGCCAGTCGAAAGGTGATCAGAGCATCGGAGCTGTCCTTGGAGCAGTTCAACCGGATTCCGAACATGCCGCAACCCCCTGTGCCCAAAGAATTCTGGCTGAAGTGAGTTGGTGCGACTCACCTACCGGCGCTTCTCACCCTGTGACAGCATCAAACATCTCATCAACAACCCCACATGGCCCACCGCCCAAATTGCCACCTGTCGCGCATTATTTCCAAATGCCATATCACTCAGAGCGTGGATTTATAACAATCAGTCAGCATTGTTATTCGCTGCGACGAATCCGTCATCGTGAATCCTCGAGATGCTCCATGTCTAGGCTGGAGCATCTTGTTGGGCAATGCCTCGTATTGTTGTTGATTAATTATTGTAGCACAAGCAGTTTACATTCTAGTATATTATTTATTTACTGAAACGCTGTCCTAATTTAGACAATCTTCATCGTCCGCCTTACTGTAAGATGCGCTGCCACATGATCTCGTTGTATCTCGAAAGAACCAGACGATTATCAGAGCGTGTAGCAAGGCGGTGAAGTTGGCGCTGGTATAGAACACGGGGAAGGCAAAAACGCCAGAACAGCATGTGAAAAACTTGATGCAATGACAACCACTGGCCTTGCAAGCATATTAGCAGCCTTGCTTGTTGGTAGCGGCAGCTTAACAGATTGTCCAAGAATTCGCTACGGCTGCTGACTACATACGGTCGCTTCATCAGAGCGGCTGGTTCAGCTCTGTCCGCAACCTTGATGTCATCTGGCCCCGTGTGCGAGCGATACAGGAACCGCCCATCAAAGGGTCCTTAAGCGCCCTACAGACATACATGTAATTCCTGGCTTCTGTTTACGATTATCAGGGAAGCACGGCCTTAACAGCAAACTGTATCGAGAAGTTCCACTGCGATGCGTCTAGTATAGATGACAATGGTTATAGTGCACTAACTAGTCGGCTTAATATTCAACGCCATATTAATGAGACAACCCTATAGCATTACAAGCCCTTCCAGAGGGAGGCCCTCCACCGGACAGCTGAACTATTCTACGTACATCGTAGTGAAAACTGTTGAGGACCTAGGGTCGTGACTACTGGGCATGAGGGTTAGAGATCAAGAGATATGCCTTGTGCTTATATGATGTCAGATGCGATTGTAACCCGAAAAATAACCAAGACCTGTGCAACAGGCACAATATACAGAGAAACGTTACCACGAGGTTGGTAAAAACCTCAATGGACCATACCAAAGAAATACAACCAGGCATCACCGGGCGCCAAGTTGGAAGCAGCCGAACCGTCGAGGTTCACCACGTGAAATGGAGATTGAAGTTAAGCGAAGGACGAACCTCGCATGGCGTCTAGTGCGAGCGGACATTACCAAGAGCACTGTGAATGCCACGCTTGGTGTGATGGCGGCGGCGTGAGGAAGCCATCCGTGAAGAGCGTGCCTTGTGACTGTCTCCGATGTAAATAGAAGCAGCTTCGAGTGCTCGTTTGGAGTTGCCGCCAGCGTTGGGAGCGGCGGAAGCAAGGACGTCCCATGTAGGTTCATCTGTCCAGACCTCGAAGTTGTTAGCGCCTTGACCAGGCTTAGCCACCTCCCAGTATCTGACGAAAATGTTTAGAGTTGGATAGAAGGCTTCACAAGGCGATACTCACAGCCACCCGATACCATCACCTTTGAGCGCATCGACGATCGTCTGTGCCTTGCTCGCCTTGTCATCTCCCATGACACCCCACTCTCCAACAACAGAGACACGACCCTGCTGTTTAGCCTGCTCGTTGGCGCTTTGGATCGTGCTCAAGAAGTCGGAACCCAAGTTGTAGTCATGAACGGCGACAACGTCAATCTCGCCACAGCCGAACGCCCAGTCACCGACGGATGTATCAGCATCAATGCCACCACCCGAGGAGATAAGGATGGAGCTGCCAGCGGGAATGAGACCAGCAAGGGTCTTGGCACGATCGCAAACCCAGTTGGGAGCAACGAGGTCCATGTGACCCATGGGCTCGTTCTCCGGCTCAAAACCGTAGATTGCGGAATCGAGGTCCTTCCAAGCAGCATTTCCCATCTGTGCGTTCTGGTGATTGAGGATGTGCGTCATGCGCTGATCGAACATGGTGGCAGCCCAGCTGTTTGTGTAGAAAGCGGATGCATCGGCGATCTGGGGTGGATTGTTTGTGAAAGGTGAGATACCGAGCTGTGTGCAGTAGACATCGGTCGCCCAGAATCCGAGCGCGTACCGATCGTGCAGTGCGATAAGCAGCTTCATGCCACGCTGGCTGGCTTCGTACATGAGCTGGTCGATCTGGGTGAGTATGGTATCGTCGTAAGTGCCGATATTATCGACCTCCACATCGTTGACAGCCTGGTTGTTAGAACCCTTGTTGTTGGCATAAATAGAAGTGATAAAGATGCGGATGACAGTCATTCCCGCTGACTGCATAGCATCCAGGACAGCTGCACGATCGTCGTCCGCATACGTGTACAGGTAGTACGCCGAAGCACCGATGAAGTAGGCACCGTCCCCGGCCGCCTGGACGCGACTTAGCCCGGTGTTGACGGATGAAGAAGCAGATGACGTGGAGGTGGCTGGAGTTGAGCTGTCGGACGTGCCCGAAGGGGTACCCAGGGAGGATGCGCTTGCTATGGAGCCGCTGGAGAGGGCAGCCGAACTGCTAGATCCCTGGTGGTGCTTGCTCTTGGTTGATGCCGAGGGAGAGGGGGAAGCCAAGGCTGAGAAGGTTGATGACGAAGACGTGCGGCCAGCGCTGCCGGTGAGAGACGCGCCGTTGACGGTTGAGTTGCGAACGGGGGTGCACGCGGCTTGCGCGGCGATGATGAAGGAAAGAATGGTAGAGAGTGTGGTGAAGAAGTGCATGACTGTCGGAATCGAGCGGGAAGGTACAAACGCCCGGTATGCTTCTTTGTTGAGTGGTAGGAAGCTGTTGTCGAAGGAGTGACTGTTGGCAAAGAACGTGTGCTTGATAGGAGGTTTGCTGAACTGCTAGAGTCTTGCGGTGCCCGTCCAAAGTTGAAAGTTGAAGCCGTGAACCCAAGGAAGAAAGTGTAAATGCTGAAAAGGGGAGAGAAGAGGTGTCCCGGGAGGAGAGGAGGGAGGAGGGGGAAGAGAGGTGAGGAAGTATCGTTTGCGTGTCAAAGCTCAGCTTTGAGGAGATCGGTCAAACGCGCGGCGTTGCCCAGGAGTGAATGAAGTGAAGGTGATTGAAGAAAAAGAAGGGAATGAAGATGGAATAAACTTCCACAAAGTGTGAAAAAGGCCCAACTCCACACGGGCCAACAATTACACTCAGACCCGAGCGAGTGGACGCGCCCTCTCATTTCCTTTGTTCCCACGCGACTCGGCATAACGGGTATCCACACAGAGGCAGCCTGCTTCCGTAAACGAGGGTCTCTCCTTTCCTCGGCACACTCGGCACGGCTTCCCAAGAACGCAACCATGCTAACAACGATATCGATGTCAGGGCCTTATCCTCACATTGTTTAATGTAGACAATACCATCTTCACGCCAAAATCTGCTTGGTTATCACCTTGAAGGCCAAGATCAATCACCAACATCTCCTCGCGCTATGTGCGTCAAAAAGCCCCCTCTGCGCCATCAAACCTTCCGTAATTTGCGATGACGCGCCCCCTAGACCAACAGACGTGCATCCTCAGGTACTCCCTCAACACCCCTGTTCAACACCATGGACGCGCAGCATCTGCTGGGCACTCATCATCATCGCGAGCCAACTCTTTAGTACGTCTAGCCTGTTGTCATGCCCGACGCGCCTCACGACAACTAACCAAACCAACTCTGCTTGATGGTTACCATCCTTAGTTTCATGTGCAACACACAATCTACCCCCTTCATTGTCTTACCTTAGCGGGCCGGGTGGTCTGGCTGTCCGAATGTGTGTTATCTTCGACTCTTTCCCCATCTACTTTCGATCGCTCGCCTCAGATAGTTCCGAAGCTGTTTCACTTCGGCCGCGGATATTGTCGGATGGCACAGTGGAATGCATCAGATTATTGCACGTTGCTCCCAGCACACAACAACTAGTACAACACCTTGCTCAATTTTTGTATCTCATTTAGCACCACATCACCCTGTTTCACCACTTGCTCATACAGCGCGTTCTTCCGGTCTGGCCGATGCGTCTCTACGATGCCTGACACCTTGTCGATCGTGCAATTCAGTCGGCCAGATGTTATAAATCGTGACAGATCACTAACAGATTCATTGTCAAGCGGTTCTCAGACGCGTAAGAAGAGGTAGCATACGCATCAATGAAAGCAGGAGTTACACCAAATGCGGCACTGAGGGAAGCGATGGAGACGGAGCGATAGGACTGTAGAAGCTGGGAATATGCCAGCACGCGCATTTCTCGCACGTAATATTGGGTGTGTGGGTGAAGGATGCGGGACGGAATGAGATATGTCTGCTCGACATCGGCTGAAAATGCGATGAGTGACTGATGGATTTATAAGAGAACGGACTCGCCAAGGGCTCGGAAAAATCGCGCGTAATCACAGTTATAGAGGGAGGTGAAGTAATCACCCAGGTGAGGAAGCTCGGGTAATACCGAGTTCACCTCGGGGCTAGATATAATCTGTCCCGTGATCAGAAGCGGAAGAAAAGCGGTTTAGAAATAAAGACCCACCCGCTTCTTCAAGTCCACCCGCTGTAAAGTCAATGTCCCACTGAGCACGGTAAGCGTTACGAACTCGTTATACTCGAAGACTTCTGTGGCGGTGAATGTTGAGAGGGCGTCCAGTAACAGGTCGCTCGCCTCCTTGAATCTCCGCACACTCAGCATATGCCGTCCTTGATAGACCTTCAGACGGTTCCTCCGGTCCCAGTCACCTCCCTGCTCGACAAGCTCGCTCGCTTTGGTCATCCATTCCGAAATGACTCTGTTGTCTTGGAAGAAGAAGCCGATTCGAATCATGGTGAGGACAATGTCGATGCGCGAACCGAGGCCAGGTGTCTTCTCTAGCGCCAGCTTCTGGGCCTCGAGTGCGCCTTCCTTGTCCCCTATCCTTGTAAGATATGTTGCCTTTGCACGAAGCGCATCGCTGATCTCAGTCTCTCCCTCGGTCTTTTCCGCATTCGCGAGCGCTTCGTCGAGCTTGGCCATCGCTGCTGTGTTGGCCTCCTCCATCTTCTTCAACAGGGCGTCGTCCCGCTTTAGTGATGGTGTTGACTCAAGCAATACCTTATAGTACGGCGACATCTCTAGATGACATAAAGGTACCTAAGTTAGTGAATACTCCTGATGCCGTAGAGACCTGCATACCATCCGCTTGGATCCCCGCCATCAAGTCCTCTAAAGCCTTGCCATGGAGTGTCTGCAGCTTGGGACTAAAAAGTACAAACTGCGCCTGCGGCAGTTTGAGGTTTGGTATCGGGAGTACGTTGTCTTCAGCCATGATCGTGGTCAAAACGAGATGTATGCGCCTATAGTGCCTGCACGCGAACCCTTGAGGACCAGAAATCAAGAGAGACGCGTAACCCTGCATTGCTTCCGTCCTCTCATACGCAAGAGCTTGACCGGCGCCAACCTCTGAATAACGTCCAACATGGCACAAACACCTTTACAACAGGCTACCGAGCTCACCAAGAGTGACCGGAAGGCAGAGGGAATATTGAAGGAGATTTTGGCTTTGAAAAATGGTGCGTTGGATTTACGGGATATATGATGAGTGTGGACTGACCGACGCGACAGAGAATGACGAGGCGACGAGGGACCAGGAGGCAGCTCTGATGCAGCTTGCCCAGCTCTACCGGGACGAGGGGTATGTTATCTCCAAACGTCGTACATGATATCATTGACTTTCTGTGAAGCAATGCCGAAGGTCTGGCGGACGTCGTGAGACTTTCCCGGCAGTTCATGTCCTCAACTGCGAAAGCAAAGTCTGCCAAGCTCGGTACGCATGCACCCTCTTTACAATGTGCCAGCTAATATCATCACAGTACGAACTCTAATCGACTACTTTGGGCCCCTCCCCTCCTCGACCGCCATTCAAACCTCTCTCCTCAACGAGCTCATCGCATGGGCACGGGGGGAATCTCGCATCTTCCTCGCCCAATCTCTTGAGATCCGCCTTGCTACCCTCTTCCTGGAAACGCGTCAGTACCGTGATGGGCTTGCCATTGTCGACCGGTTATTGGGAGAGCTGCGACGTCTCGACGACAAGATGATCCTGACCGAGGTGCATTTGCTCGAGTCCAAGCTGCATCATGCAACCCAAAACTTGCCAAAGGCGAAGGCCGCTCTGACGAGCTCGCGGACTGCTGCGAACAGCATATACTGTCCGCCCCATCTCCAGGCGCAACTGGATATGCAGAGCGGCTTGCTTCTTGCCGAGGACAAGGACTACAAGACCGCCTACTCGTACTTCTTCGAAGCATTCGAGGGAATGGGTGGCGTGGAGGACGCGCCGGGAGCTCTGGCTGCACTCAAATACATGTTGCTGTGCAAAATTATGCTCAATGCGGTAATCATTTTCCCTTACCTATGGAAGCAATGTCTCAGTTTTGGACTAGCCTGAAGACGTGAATACTATCATGAACGTAAAGCTTGCTTCCAAACATGCGGGTCGACAGGTAGATGCAATGAAGGCCATTGCGGCAGCACACCAGGCTCGCAATCTGGCAGCATTTGAGCAAGCGTTGAAGGATTATCAGAGCGGTGAGTGTTTTCTAGGATCATTCGCCCAAGTAACTCATCGGCTTCAGAGCTCCAATCCGATCCAACAATCCGAACGCACCTTTCTTCCCTTTACGATACCCTACTGGAACAGAACCTGCTGAAGATCATTGAACCGTTCAGCAGGGTAGAGATATCACACGTGGCTGAACTTGTTGGGCAGCCCGTCAGTCAGGTCGAATTGAAGTAGGCCCATCAGCTCCCTGTAAAATTAACATCTGACGACAAACTTAGATTGAGCCAAATGATCCTAGACAAAGTCTTCAACGGGATTCTTGACCAAGGTGCTGGCTGCTTGGTCGTCTACGATGAGCCAGAGGAGGATGTAGGTGCCCTATATCATTCCGTATCAAATGGCTGACCAGCCAACGTAGGAGACGTATTCCAGCACGCTAGATACGCTGAAGCATATAGGGCATGTCGTTGAGTCGTTGTACGGCAAGGTTTGTCATTGTTCTCGAAGTTGAGTTGCGTGTAGTAACCGCATTTCATTACAGGCAACAAAACTCGCGTAGTGTACTACTGGTAGCTGGTAATGCTTATGCTGTTATAGAGCACTATTGTCCTCGCCCCATGAGCGCATTGGCACTTGAAGGAGGTCAGCAGCCATCGTTGTGCAAATGTAGAAACGTACCGTTGACCCGCTGCCTCTTCATGCAACTTCTCTTTCTGGGTGACCACAGCACTCTTCTTCTCTGGCCTGCTGTTCATAATATCAATCATCTCCCATGCTATCCTCCTGAAAAACTTCATTTCCATTCTCTTCTCGGCCGCTTCCAAAATCCACATTATGCCGGTCCGGGTACGTTGTCGTTCCGAAAGAGGGAGAGGCACCCTGATGATTTTTGCGCCTCTCTTGTGCGAGACCACCCGGACGCTCGGAGAAGCTCTGCGGATTGCCTCTTTCACAAAAGGCAACGGATCGGAATGGGTCTGACTTTGGATATAGAGTAGGCATTCGGCGACGGTTTTGCGAGCGCGATGAAGCAGGCCGTGTCTCATGACGAGGTTAGTGAGAAGTCCAAGTACTGGATCTGTCTTCGAAGCGATGAAGACTTGTGATCGAGTGTAGGCAACACCCGGCTTCGATCCGCCGAGCGGTGAGGGTGAGAGTGGGGCTAATGTCCGGCTTGTTGAGGTGGGAGGCGGCGGTGGAGAAGTTCCGATGGATGAAGGAAAGACTGGGGGAGGAGAAGTAAATCTTGAAGCGATAGGAGGTGTTTCAATAGACGTAGAAGGAAGCGGCAAGGTCGTTGAAGATGAAGTCGCGGAGGATTTCTGCACATGGCTCTGCATGATTTGGACAGCTTTCTCGGCCGTTTTTTGTAGTATTGGAGGAAATCCAGGAGGGGATTGAGCAGATGTGCCAATAGCTCTTGCGAGTAATGGTGGTGGATATATTTGACGGAAAACTTGACGGACAATCATGGCGACAACGGTGAGAGAGTGCTAAAATATGGTGAGCGGTGGCGAAACCTCAACCGCATATGCATTGGAATATCTCGTCTATTCGGCTCCGACGACAGGACTGGTGCAACTTGCACATCCCTCACTAGCTCTCTCATTCAATCTACTATACCATGCGACGCTCTTCCTCGCGACCGTTTGATCCATCTCGGGACTGCTCAAAGTGCAAAAGGTCCGTCAGCGATGAAGGTACGTCCTTTCCTTTCATGGCCGCTCCGCTGTCTAAACCACGCCGAACTGAAAGAGAATTACCTTATGAAATGCTCTGTCTGTTCCCTCAAATGGCACCATCATACTTGTCAAAATCCGCCCTTGACAAAAAGCTATGTGAACGAACTGAATCGCGCCGCAAATCTTCTCGTGCGGAGACTTGGATCTCATCGTGTTCTGGAGTTTAACGAAGTCGTTGGCACGGCCTACGCTTGGAAGTGCAACAATTGCTCAACCGTCGAAACTGTGGATTTGACACTGAGTTCCGATGATGAAATACCAAACGTCAAGGTCGAACATACTTTGCCAGCACATTCGAATAAAGTTGCTGCTGCTTCCACTGCCTCAGTTACCTCTTGTGGCGCTCGCAACCTGGTGGCCATGTCAAGTCTCAAGGGGAAGGGAAAGGACGTCTCGTACCATTTGGAACACCTTGAAACTTTGGGCGAATCGTCTAAGACTGCTATTGGTGCTGCGTCTCGCTCATTTCAAGATGATACCGGCGCCGCAAGAGAGTCTACCCCCGCCCAACAAGCGGCCGTCGGCACAGTCCAACAGCTGGATACCGGTGTACGCACTATGAATATACAAGACGGCGCTATTCAGAATGTTGACTCACTTCCATTCTCTCGTCCGATTGTCCCGTTACCCGATAGAGTCACACGACTGCCTGCGCTCGATCCCCGTCCCCTCATCGATATCATCGCGGCGAAGGAAGCGGAAGCCACGGCGGCTGCCCGATTTCGACACATGTCTACCCAGCCTGAGGCTGATATAATCAACAATGATGATGATGTCGAAGAAATCTCGGCACCGCGCATCATTTCGCCTATTCCTCGCACACGCCTGGATATCCTGACTGCGAGACAGGAGGCGGAACGCTCTTCCTCTCCCGTCTCCTCTGGACAGAGTCCAGCACCCGGGAAGCGTCAGTTAACAACGAAGGCAGCACGCAAGAGCGCCACTCCTCGACTTGTTGACATTTCATCCATCCACTCCTCTCGTGCTTCAGTCGAACCGGAAGATACTGCGTCAAGCATTGCTGAAAACAGCACTGCTATCCCGAAGAACTATGTTTGTGAGGTTGTACCCGGTTCGGATGAAGATAGTGATGATGAAGACGCATTTTCTTCCTTCCTTCCTCCTCCACCAAGCCCCAAACCAGCGTGGCGTGATCTGAAATGGCCACTACATCCTCTACTACAGGGTACGAGAGAACCTGCCGATTGGAACAAGCTACCGCCTGTGAGGAAGCTTCCCAGAAAAGGAGTGGCCAAGCAGTTAGTGGTCCAGCCGCAAATGGAGAGAGTAAGTGTTCCGAAAGGCCTCGAAATGGACGGCGTTCCATTCCAATGTGGGTTCATTCAGGTTCTGGCGGACTGGCCTCCTTGCATTTCACGTCCTGAGACTAAGTTTTCAGATGCTTAGGGAGAAAAATAAAATAAAACATGGCCATTATTTGCAGGTTCTTCATGTTCACGACCTATCCCTAGTCTATGTAGTGTCTACACGTTCATGCAATCTCATGCGTACTTCTGGGCGGAAACCTCGCCCATCGTGACGATCAATCTGGAACGCTTGCCAACATCAAGTGCTCAGTCTTAAATCAGTGTGTGGTAGGTATATTTGTTTGGTCATATGTAACTCACGGGGACGCCAAGGAGAACTATGACTTCAGAAGGGACCAAAGAATTCCCAATAGCACAGGTTGTGCTAGATTACAAACTACTATTGCACTGTCTAGAATACCTCTGTACGGTTACACGTATTCATCAACCCTTCAGGCGATCATTTCAACCGCAGTATGCGTTCATTGGGCATCCAACGGCAGTACCCTTGACGGCGCCTGAAACACCCGCAATTTGGAGGACTGCATTAACAATACCGCCTAGACCTTCTCCTGCAATACCACCCGCAGCAATGGCGTATCCGAACATCTGGAAGTGAGCCGGCGCTCGTTTACGCCAAACGAAGGCTACTATAGAGCCAAACAGCATCGCCATCCTAAATGCCCGTCAGGTGAATTGACTAGAGTTTTTTTGGCAGGAGCTCACGGGTACGTGCAGAGCGGGCCAAGAATGAAGGCAATGCCCAATGCGTTCCAGTTCGGGAACCAGTGATGCTTGTCCGGCGTGAAAAATTTGTACTTGACGAAGGTCTGTAGAAGGACAACCACGCCGAGAACGATCGAAAGGATCCCGGAAGTCTTGGGAATCGGCAATGAAGGTGCGGACACGGCGATAGAAACGGCACGCCAGGCACCCACGTCCGGGGCAGGAAAGGAGCAGGTGGTGGTTGACAGCTCGTTGATACACGGGTATGCCTTCGTGAACACGACGTACATTCCAGCCGACAGGAATATGGAAACAAGTGCACCAACCATCTGTGCGTAAAGCTGAACACGAGGAGAAGCTCCGAGTAAATGCGTCTAGATTGATGTCAGCACCCACGCATGGCTGCGAATGAGATGCTCACGGTCTTGAGATCGCCAAGCATGTCGGCACATTGTTCGGAAGCAGCGAGTGCAATCATACCAGTAAGGCCGTTATTCAACTGATTCACTGCAGCAGCTTGACCAGCGCCTTTCGAAATCCCACCAAATATGAGCTGAGAGAAGTTGCCGAGAGTCGTGACTGGAATCACGGAGACACGACCTGCACACTCAGCACCAATGAGGGAGAAGAAGAACGCAATAATGATTGCGAGCAAGGTAATTCCAGGGTTCTGATCGAATTGATACTATTGAGAGGGGGTGGAATTAGCAAAACCCTATCTAACTTGAGAGGCTGGGCCACTAACCTTCATAACAATCATGCACATGATAGTTGAGAGAACAGTTCCGCCTCCCCACAGCCAGAAGGGGGTCTGCTCGTTAAGCGGGACAGGATCTAACAGTGCTCCGTCCTTGTTGATGTCGAGATGCTTGTTGGGACGTATCTTCTCGATAATAGGCTCAAGCATCATGGCGAAGGAGGCAAGTAATGACTTGTAATTCGCTGCAATCTCGCCGACGGATGCGCATAGAAGACACATGCATCCCGGCCAGATGAACCAGTATTTTGGTGAAGGTGCATTTACAGGATCGTCAAGAATCATGTTCGAGTAATTGACGTAGCCAGGATAGTCGGGGGACATAGGAGTCCCAAATGCCTGCGGACCAATACGGGTGTTCAGGGCTGATAGACCGCAACAATCGCTGAGAAGTGCTCACCACTCCGGCAGCAACAATGGCAGGCCCGATGATACCCCAAGCAATAACGGCACCACTAGCGAAGCTTACAGAGGCATTGAGTGGAACTAGGAGACCAACGCCGATGAAGGCTGGAGTCCATTCGAAGATCCAACCCTGTGCGTAAGAAATGAGGGCGCCTCTTCACACACGGCAAAGGCACCAAAGGCACTGACCCAGTTCTCGGCACCAATGATCCCGTGCCAGCCAGCTTTGTAGAACCAATAGCCCCAGTGCCAGTCCCACATAATTCCTATTAGATCTCAGTAATCATATGACATGATGATCATTCTTGCCGCTCACCTGGCGCATATTCTGAAATGACCCTCCAGGTTATGGCAATGAGGAAGGCAATTACGAGCGTCCACGTCTTCTTCATTGCGACAGCAGCAGCATTCTTTCCCACATGAAGAGAGCGGATAGTGAAGGCGGCTGCAACGCTGGACGGAAACACCAGTTTCAGCTTGAGAATATAGAGACGCCGGAGGGGCATTGTAAAGAAGATCCCAATGTAGGCGACCGCGAATGTGAAAGTGATTAGGCGACCGAAATCTGCAGTAGGTGATGAACCAAGAAGACCAAGCTGGTAGGCGGCCGGAAAACCAGAGGTGAAAAGTAGTCCGAGTGAACCGGCAGCCTGGAAAGGAAACTTAGACGCTAGGAAACAGATATGCGGAAAAAGTCTCACAGTAGCTGCGCTCTGGACACAGACGTTCTCTTTCGGCCCGAAATACCCACCACCGAACTTCTCAGGAAGCGCCTTTGACAAGGGTTTGAGAATAGCGAAACCTAAGATAGATCCGAACAAGGACGCGCCGAAAGTCCAACCGGTCTTGAGTCCAAGATATACGCTAGTGAGGGCATAAGACTTGAAGGGACTACATACCATTCGACACTTACTTGCTCGCAGAGATGACAGCGCCTAGAGCTGTACCGACGAATACCGCTCTGAAAGTAAGCTGCTGCTCAACTGGGGCATCCGGATCCTCTGGGAAGGGATCATCGGTTCCGAGTTGCTCCTCGCTTTCGTGCTCTTCCTCGGCTGAGTCGACTGGAACAACATCATCGCCATATGGTACATTCTTTTCGTCATAGCTGTTGCTGTCTGAGGCATGCCCAACGCCGCTTGCGGACGCACCCTGATGATGAGCAACCGCGTCACCCATCAGCTCAGGCTCGGCTGGTTCCACCTGAGCGCCGTACAGAAAAGTGTCTGCCTTCGAGGATGCCATATTGCTGAAGAACTAAGTGAACAGTCCAGGCACAACGAAACGGGACACACGACCCGTGGAGAGTACGAGTTTGCGTGTAATACTCGATCTCTCATACTTCTGCTCCACCTTGCTATCGATAACCGAATGAGGCTTCGAATCCCCGACCAATCGGTAGAACAATCACACTCAATGTCATGCCAGCTGTAGGTGATGCGCCCATTTAAGAATCACGCCGGTCAAAGATAAGACGTCTGGTTTTCCAGGGGTATTGGGAGACTTTGCGTAGAACGAGAGTCGGACATCCACCGGGCGGACAGAGAAACGTCAAGTATTTAATCGTGTTGAGATGAGCGTCAAGGGGTGACACGAGTGACTCAAGAATAGAATCATAGATCAGTAATCAGCAAAGGATGTCGGAGTCGCGCGGAAGCTGTGCAAGCCGACGGAAATAGCGCCGAATTGTGTTGACGTTCCTTGCCTTCTTCCCCATGCGTTTCCCATTCATGCATATCATAAATCTATGAACATCATCCGACTTGACCCAACCCGCCAAGAATCCGGCGACTGGTCAGTGCGATAGCAAGCCGCTTGCTCGCATACAATTTTGGCTGGATAGGAAGCAGATCATCCCGGAGAAGTCGGCGAGAAGAAGCCAGCAGGCAAATGCTTACCCCGCCACTTCGGCAACTGGACCGTCAATCAAGGCGAAGACAAGAAGAAGACAGCCAAGGGGCAGGTGTTCCGGAATTTACAGTCGATCTAGTGAGTCAAAGCCTCAGATTTTCGACCACTAGGAGTTGCGAAGACAGGAATTGAGAGCAAGGAGCAATTTTTCAGGGGATTGGCCACGTGGCTTTGCAAACTGATTAATTACTGTAATTGGACCTTTTTTTCTCTTCCGGCCCTCCATGTCGTTTCGGTCCGTGGTGGTTCTTGACATTGTTAATCCCTGTCAAGAACAAATCGTTGTGTTGGAGGGTGAACAAAGGACGTCGATCCAATCCGATCTTGCCATCATAACCCTTCGGATCCCCCGCCATCACGACTCCTGACGAATCCCGCATTTCGCCTGGCTCGAATGAGAGCGTGTTCTGAACCACTCACTGGGATTTAGACCCGAATGAGTCTATTGGTCGGCCACGTAACAGGGTGTCCTGAGAGGGGGCATTCTGAGAATCGAGCTGCTCTGATGCATCTTACGCACATGGTAGCTCGGTACACACGGAACGACTAACTCCCCTCGTTAACTAATGAGGTATGCTTTGAAGCTTGATAATTTGAGCCCCGTTCCTCAAGAACCATAAATCTGACTGTGTTGCAGCGACCGTCGGATTAATTAAGTCGGAGCCGAAATGCTCACTCAACGCGTACGTGAGATGCTCTCAGCTATGCTCGAAATTCGCTCTGTCGCCTTAACCCCAGATAATATATCACTCCAGTTCTTTAACAAGCTATGGCGTCAGCCTCAACTCATCCAGTTCCAAGGCCCAAGAAGCGCTTTATTGGCCGCAAAGCTGGAACAGGTCGACCTATTTCATCCACATCGTCGGTGGTCATTTCTTCAGGCATTCCGGTATCCATACTCGAAGACAAGTCGCTGAATGCAGCAATAGCTCAATTGCCGAGCAACTACTCTTTTGAGATACACAAGACAATATGGCAGATACGGAAGAATGAGGCTAAGATGGTTGCACTTCAGATGCCCGAGGGGTTACAGATGTTTGCTTGCTTGATATCAGATATCGTCGAGAGGTGTGTCTACATGTCAAGTTTTATCCTGACATGATGCTCATGCAGGAACAGATTTACAGACGCCCTGACCGTAATTATGGGTGATGTTACGTATGGTGCTTGCTGCATCGACGACTACACCGCTCTCGCTTTGGGATGCGACATGCTCGTCCACTACGGCCACAGCTGTCTCGTCCCTGTCGACACAACAACGATCAAGACACTCTATGTATTTGTCGAGATTGGTATTGACAACTCTCATCTGGCGAGAACAGTCCGGCTAAACTTTCCCGACGATCGTGCGGAGTTTAGAAGGAAGTTGAGGGATATCGAGGCGGCAGAGGTAAGGGGGACGCTTACAGCTGGAGACCCCATTACACCTGCAATGCAACATCTTGCGATTACGGTAGATGGCGAAGAGGACGGGCGGGAGACGCACCCTGCGAAAGACCCAACACGGCTCGCGATTGTGTCAACGATCCAGTTCGTAGCGGCAGCGCAGGCTCTCAAGGAAGACTTGACGACCCCATTGGAGCCCCCAAAAGAAGATCAAACGAACGAACGTCCTGCTCAGGAACAGGCAGTGGTGCAACGCTCAGAACAGCAGTTACATGCCGGCGTGTACGACATTACCATCCCGCGGGCGAAGCCACTATCGCCTGGCGAGATATTAGGCTGCACTTCACCTCTCCTGCCAGACGTCGATGCCCTCATATACGTGGGTGATGGCCGCTTCCACCTCGAGAGTATCATGATCTCGAACCCATCCGTGCCAGCATTCCGATACGACCCATACGCAAAGAAGCTGACAAGAGAGCGATATGGGCACAGCGAGATGCGGGCGATGAGGGGACGGGCGGTAGATGCAGCGCAGAAGAGCTTGTCTTGGGAAGATCCGGATGGTGATATCTCGAATACGGTCTCCACGGTAGAGAAGGAGCCGGTTGGCTGGGGCCTTGTGCTAGGAACACTTGGAAGGCAGGGAAATTTGCAAATGCTCAAAGCCCTTGAACGGCAGCTCTCTGCTCTTTCGCCTTCCCATCGACCCGACATTACCCCGATCCTCCTTTCTGAGCTGTCGCCTCAGAAGCTCGCCCTTTTCCCGCAATTGTCGGCGTTCGTCCAGACCTCTTGTCCGCGCTTGAGCATGGACTGGGGCGAAGCCTTCCCTCGCCCGCTCCTGAGTCCTTATGAATGTTCGGTTGCTGTGGGAGGACTGAGACGATGGGGGGATGGTGCTAAAGGAGGTGAGGAAGGGTACAGGATGGACTACTACAAGGGAGATGCTCCATGGGCGCGAAGTAGAGCAACGGGATCCTTTGAGAAGGACTGAGGGATCATGATAGATAGCCCTCTATGGGATGTGCTGTATCATGTAGTCTAATAACCTAAGCCTACTGTAACTTTATCCATATCCCTCGTTAACCTGCAAGATGAAAGTTCTTAGTCGGGATAAAAGTCGGCTCCGGTCTTCACATATTCGATGAGGTTAGCATCCTTACCCTCGCACGACCATTTTCGCACATGGCCAGCAACAGCGGAGAGCCATGGTGCCAAGGCGCTCTGGAGAAAAAGCGGCAGGAGATGCTTGTGTGTACTGTCCTATGGTTTTCTCACCTCACTAACCCCTCAAACAGGCGGAGTTCGAGCGCCAAAAAGACCTCATCCGGCAGGAGACTGAGAAAGCTCGACCTGGGCAAAACCGCTTTGTCGGCGTGCAAGACTCCACTGAGGATGCTCTCAAGAAGAGCACTGTAGGATTAGTTCAGCTCGAGGAGTTCCAGAGTGCAAGACGGGCGCTTGAGGAACTGAAGGCGAGGGAGGCGGCAAGGACGGACGAGTTGGGCAAGTGAGTCCTTCCCACTGGGTTAGTGTTGGTGGTGGGTGTTGACCACGTAAGTATATGTGTAGGGAAGTGAAGAAGGTGAAGAAGAAGCGTAAAGCTGTGAAAAATAACCTGTCGTTTGCAATGGACGATGAAGAGGAGAGTGCTGGGCCTTCAGGAAGGTCGACACCTCAGCCCAAAGCAGTTTCCCGCGAACTGACCTCTGCACCTACACCCAATACTGATGCGAACGACGTTGCTACCCCGGAAGGAGATGAGGAACGCCCATCCAAGCGTCCCAAATTGGGGAAAGCCCCGGGGGTGGATACGAGCTTTTTACCTGATAGGGAGAGGGAGGAGGCGGAGCGCGCTGAGCGGGAGTCCTTGAGACAAGAGTGGTTGCAGCGACAGGAAGACATGAAGCAGGAGGAGATTGAGGTGGTGTATTCTTACTGGGACGGGCAGGGACATCGGAAGAGTGTGATCGTGAGTTTTCCACTTTTGTGAAGTAAGAAGCGAGAAGCTGAGTACAGTACGCAGTGTAAGAAAGGAGATGAAATTGGCAAGTTCTTAGAGAAGGTCAGGCAGCAATGGAGCGAACTACGGGGAGTGACAACCGATAACCTGATGTACATCAAGGTGCGTCTGCTAAATTCCTCGGTGGGTTGTCTTATGTTTTGTAACTAGGAGGACTTGATTATACCGCATGTAAGTTTCCTTTGGTTACTGAGTGCAGAGCGGGTGATTGATGCCACATAACAGCACTACACCTTCTACGACTTCATTATTAACAAGGCACGGGGTAAATCCGGTCCCCTGTTCAATTTTGACGTACACGATGATGTGAGATTGTTGGCAGACGCCACGGTGGAGAAGGATGAGGTATAAATGGTTCATTGCCTCGTGTGATCCACACTGACTATTACGGTGCAGTCGCATGCGGGCAAGGTAGTACAGAGATCGTGGTACAACCGACAGAAGCATATTTTCCCAGCTTCCAGATGGGAAGTGTATGATCCCGAGAAGGACTATGGGAAGTATACCATCAAGAGCTAGATGGGGTTATTTCCCGAAATTGTGGGTGTTGGTCAGAATATGGTCATGCGATGTGTAGAGGGTGTGAACATGTGGTAATTATTACGATGCTTTTCTGATGATCTGTCGCGTACAATTCATAGTCATTGATGACTGATAATATTCCAACAAGGGAAATCGGCCCCGCATCTTCGGTGAGCAGCGACGTGGCTGTCACGCCAGGCGACTCTCCCACGATTGACTGACTACTATTGCCCCTTGAACCCCCTTAACCCTCTCCTCCCTCCTCCCCACACCCCCCTTCCAACTCTTTCGACTAGTTGAAACGTGAGAGCGGGGTCAAGTAGGGAGGCTGGGCAAGGGCACTGCGCAACGGGTAGAACACAGGTGATTGCATCCGCTGCCTTCGTGGAGAGATTCACTCGTCGACATCGGCGCGTAAAACAAGGTGCATTTCGAGGCACTTCACCATTCGCAACATTCCAACCGCTCTTCTTGCTCTTGACCACCACCTTCCTAATTCTTTGATTCTCTTCGGCCCTTAGGCGACGAATTTGCAAATTCATTGCAATGCTTCTTCCTTCAACCCTCATCGCACTTCTACTCCTGCCTTCAACGCTTGCTGTTCAGCCACAACCCCGAACTTACGATTCTCACGACTACTACGTGATCGAACATATTCCCTCCGCATCATCTTCCTCAATACATGAATGCTTCCAAGCCCTAGGAGTCGAGCTCGTAGAACAAGTTGGAGAGCTACGGGACCATTGGCTCGTCAAAGTCCCAAAGCGCAATTCATTAGTCGGACGGGGCCTTGAAGATGAAGATGGGGACAATGTAATGCAGCGGTGGGGAGAGCTGCAGAGACGTGCAAAACGACAGGGAATTGAGGCTAGAGATGGAAGTGTATCCGACGCACGTAGGATCGTGCAGGCCATCCGTTCCGTGCAGCCTCAAGTACCACGGCAGCGAGTAAAGCGGGGTGATCCACCACCCCCACCTTCCCTTTTCGAGCGGCAAGAACCACACCCTCTGCTGCGACCTGAAGACAACGTGACTACTGCTGCAGATGTCGCTGCTTATTTGGAAATCGCGGACCCCGAGTTCACGGCGCAGTGGCATCTTTTGAATGCAATAGATCCGTACAACACGATCAATGTCACCGGCGTGTGGGATATGGATATCACAGGCCATGGTACAAGGGTTGCAGTTATTGATGATGGGTTGGATTTTGATAGCGACGATCTTGCTCCCAACTATGTGAGTCTACTACATTAAGATTTGGATACAACGGACCAAACTGAGTGTTCGGATTAGGACCCCACTGGCTCGTGGGACTTCAACGATCACGTCCCCGAACCTAAACCTCGGCTCTCTGACGATCGACACGGTACGCGTTGCACCGGAGAAATTGGCGCAGCGAGGAACGATGTCTGCGGCGTTGGTGTGGCATATCAAACGCGTGTGTCTGGCATCCGGATCCTCTCCGGGCCCATATCGGACGCGGATGAGGCAACGAGCTTGAATTACGGTTTTGATGAGACCGGAGTATACTCTTGCTCTTGGGGCCCGCCGGACAACGGCATGAGCATGGAGGCACCGCAAGATCTCGTCCAGAAAGCCATCATCAACGGGGTTCAGAACGGCCGTGGTGGCAAGGGCAGTATATTCGTCTTTGCAAGTGGAAATGGAGCTGGCAATGGCGATCAATGCAATTTCGACGGATACACAAACTCGATCTTCTCTATTACTGTCGCCGCTGTCGATAAGAACTTCGAGCACCCGTATTACTCTGAGTCGTGTGCCGCTAATTTGGTCGTTGCCCCTAGCTCGGGCGGAGGGGATAGCATCGTGAGTGCTTCGCTTTGCAACAATCTCGTAAAGCTGATTGATCGACAGCACACTACCGATGTAGGCAAGAACAAGTGCACAGCCTCACATGGTGGAACATCCGCCGCAGCACCACTTGTTGCAGGCGTCATGGCGCTTGCCCTGGATGCACGGCCTGAGCTAACCTGGCGTGACGCACAACACCTGATCGTACGCACCTCGGTGCATATCAACCCCGATGACCCGGATTGGGAGCTTACCGCCGCCGGCCGGCACTATAGCTACAAGTATGGCTATGGCGCTATCGATGCATACTCGCTCGTTCAGCTCGCAAAGACGTGGGAGCTCGTCAAGCCCCAGGCATGGATCGACGTCGGCGAGATCGACATGCCCGATGCCCAGATGGACTGGGAGGGCCACATGAGCGGTGGGACACCTATCGGAGAGGATGGTGTAAGCAGCACCCTGAGCGTCAAACGGGAGATGCTGGAGCAGAACAACTTTGAGAAGATGGAGCATATCACCGTACGAGTGTGGATTAATCACAGGAAGAGAGGAGACGTCGAGGTTCAGCTGCGGAGCCCGAACGGGATAGTGAGCATGTTGGCGGGCAAGAGGCCGAAGGATACAGATGAAAATGGGTACAAGGGGTGGCAGTTTTCTACTGTTAAGCATTGGTGAGCCTATCGTGCGTCAGTCTTGGCCATGTGTTCATACGAGACGCAGGGATGAGAATCCCATCGGAGACTGGAAACTAATAGTACATGACCAGGAAGATTCGGACAACAATGGCTCGTTCCTTGGGTGGAGCATGATGCTCTGGGGATCGGTAATGGATCCGGCCAAGGCAAAGCTATGGAAGTTGCCGACGTCTGTATCGATGGATGATCTGGAGCCCCCTGAGACGACCACCACCTCAAAACAAGCAACCCCTACCACCGACCCGTCAAAGACAAAACAGTTGTCAAAACCTACGGACCACCTTCCTGGAGATCACACCGACCAGACCGGCGAGGCGGACCGGCCTGCATTCACGCCCAAGCCCCCTGGTAAGCCCATCCAATCAGGAGATGACACAGAGGTCGAAGAACCTCCTGCTACCTCCACCTCTTCCGGAGCTAGTAGCACGCCGACCACATCGCTCGATACAGGATACTTTGACCACATCCGCGACTTGCTCAAATCCTCTAAGTGGCTAATTGGCACTGTCGTCATCGTCGCCCTCTTCATCACCGGTGCTGCTTTATACTACTGGCGTCGCCGTTCGAGAAGGCGCGCAGCCTACAAGGGTGTGGCAGGTGATGAGGTTGCCATGAGCACGATGGAGAACGGGAACGGAAATGGGAACGGAAATGGAGTGGGGAGGAGCAAGGAGGTGTATGATCCGTTTGCCGTCACTGCTTCAGATGAGGAGGAAGAGGATGAAGCAGATGAGACGGTGGCGCTCACCAGTGGCCGGCCGAGGAGCTCTCGCCCGGAAGTGGGATACCACGATGGGTTCCTCGACGATGATGATCCTGCTTCGGCGGCCCCTCCCCGGCCATTGTATAAGGACGAGCCAGATGACGCAGACAGGGCAAGGGAAGCGGCAAGTGCACGTGCTGAACATGAGCATGAGAGTGAGGAGCAGCCAAAAAGTACTACTAGAGAAGCAGGGAGCGGGGACCCGCTTGTATGATGATATCCTATCTGCAATCTATTCCCTTCGCATACCATTATTGCTTCGTTCGCACTCTGTGTGAGATAGAATTGCATTAGTTGTACAAACTACATGTGCCGAAGGTGCATAAATGACAAGTCGAACCACGGAAAATATAAAGTGCGAGGATTACAGCATCTACTCGTCATCGTCCTGAGCTGCGAATTGCAACTTGGTGCCATTCGCGATGCGGGAAAGAACGCCCATTCTCTCATACTAGGCAGAAGGGTTAGCCAAAGTTTCGAACACGGTTTAAACACTTCTTACCTCAAGAATTGTGTCCATAAGGGCGATCTCGGTGAATCCACCGGCAATAACGCGAGCACGAACATCAGCCATGAGTAAGGGCCCATCCTCCTCCTCCTGGTAATCGCGCTCCCTATTCGGGCCGCGACCCAGCCGTCTCCTAGGCCTGCGACGCTTGTCCATCTCCTTGATGATCCGGAAGATCTTGGACATGTCGGTCTGATCTCCGCGGTCGTTATCATCCCGCTCCTCATCAAACAGGCTAGCCTTGCTGACGTCCATGAGGCGCAGTGCTTCGTCAACATCAGCAAGTTCGACGGTATCAGCGCAACGCAAGCGAGCCAGTGCTTGGGATAGACGCAGAACACCGAGCAAAGCACGTGCAGAGACGTAACTATGCATCTTCTCATCTTGTTCCTCATCCCGAGAACGTTTGCGAAGCGTGACATAGGCACCAACGATGTACTCGGAGACCATGCGTGGAACAACGGGGCGTTTGGTACGCGCCAATGCAATATAATGCCTGCTACCCGTCAATCTCTGCTAATTCAAGGAGGAATTCCATGACTCACCTCATCAACAATGGGGAGATGGGCTCAAACGAAAGGTCAGGGTGACAATTGTGCATGTGCACGTAAGTAACGTGCTCAGCAAGAGCCTCATCAGCATCTCGGTCAGCCTTGTCTAGAATGAGGAAAATCAGGTCGAAACGAGATAACAAGGCCGCGGGAAGGTTGATATTTTCTACCGGTGATATTCTAGGATTGTACCGTCCGTAGAGCGGGTTGGCGGCAGCGAGGATGGACGTGCGGGCATTGAGGGTGGTGGTAATTCCGGCTTTGGAAATGGAGATAGTTTGCTGCTCCATAACTTCGTGAATGGCAGTGCGATCGGACTCGTCCATCTTGTCGAATTCATCGATGCAACAAATGCCATTATCGGCGAGAACAAGGGCACCGCCCTCTGAGGTGGAAATGAGGACATTGATCCCCTACAGATGTGTGGGGCTTACCAAGGACCATTTCGTCAGTCACCGGATCACGCATTACTGCTGCAGTAAGACCAACACCAGAAGAACCTTTCCCGGTGGTGTAGACACCTCTCGGTGCCACCTTCGAGATATATTTCAAGAGCTGCGACTTGGCCACACCAGGATCACCCATCAAACAGATGTTGAGGTCACCACGCAGGCGCATGCCGTCGCCCACCTGCTTCGTCACACCTCCAACGAGGAGGAGGAGAAGCGCCTTCTTCACGTCCTCATGACCAAAGATCTCTGGGGCGATGCTCTGTGCCAGCTTTTCGTATAGCATGGGATCACTTTTGAGATGCTCCAGTTGTGTCGCAATCTCCGGGGTCATCTCCAGAGCCGAGTACTGCTTCTTCACCTGATCTACGTGGTGCACCTCGAGGTAAGTGTCGGTGAGCAAGCCGGCTCGGATGGCTCGGAAGCCAGTATAAGGGGTAGGAAGGAAGATACCACCAAGATGGACGACGTCGCCGGGGTTGACTTGACGGGTAAGACCGCCATAAAAGTGAATTGTCATGGACCGAGGGATGTGGCCGACCGGAACTTGATCCGCCTAATGACCACTGAGAACCTTGGCGTTAAAGGAATGAGGACACATACCATTTCCTGAATCTTGGCCTCCTGGAAAGGACTGAACCGGCAGGCCCGAGTCTGCATGCTAAGAGTCCCCTTCACACCATCCTGGCGACACCTCTCGCTCGTACAGTCGGTCAGTGGAGAGAACTGCTTGTGCGTAATCTCCTGGAAGATCTCTGCGCCGCAACTCTCGCATGAATAGGCATTCACCAGTAGAAGTGGCTTGACTTCCGAGATGCGGGTTACAATACCACGGACAGTGATGAGCTTTCCGAGGTGTTCCCCACGAACCTCACGCACTGCGAGCGTTTCGTCTGAGGCAAACGGCTGGAAATACAGATTACTGTTTTTCCATCAGCATCAAATGACAAGACAAATGTGGGTGCGTACTATCGCCTCATCAACTGAGGGGGAAATTGTCGGTCAAGAGGAGCAGGAGCGCCCTCAATATCCTGCTGAGCATCCACCTGCGCCATCTCGTTGTGCTCTTTCCGCTGGTGCATGATGACATCCAGCACATCATCGTGATGACTAATATCTTTAGTAGGGGCAGGGATAAGGTCATCCACAGCTTTGCAAAACAGATCGACATAACGACGCGCATTATGTTGAATATTCGAGACGAGGTCGTGGACGCCATCCTGGAAATCTGCAATGTCTTCCAGCTCGATGCACAGTTCTTGCTGTTCACGATTTGCTATACGTTGCTACTTTGCGATCAGATGGGATACAGTTTGAAGATGCCCATAGTCGTACCAGCTGGCTCATGTACTTATGACCCTTCAGCTTAGCGGCCATGTCCTCTCCGGGCGTCTCATCATCATCTAAACCCATGTGCTCAAAATCATCCGTCACGTCGTTCGTGGACGTCTTGAAGTTTTCCAAAAAGCCCTTGATTTTGGACTCCTCCTCCGCATAGTTGATATTAAGTGCAATGACTGGAACGGCAGTCATGTCGGAAAGGATGAAGAGGGGATGGGAGGGAAGAGTTGGGGTTGAGGGATGGGGGGCGATCTCGGACGCGACGCGTCCTTCATGCGTCAGATGAGTCCCTTCAGTTGACCGCGACTTTACTCCCGCGCCACTTGATTATCGCCGACGATGTTGTTACGTCCGAATGGCACAATGACCGGGATTGGAGAAAAGTAACATCTCAACAAGCCATTCAAAAAAAGAACGCACTCTTGAACAGTCTTTATCATTGTACATCTTGTTATATCTTTTCGAATTCATATTCCTACACAGTCTGTTAACCCTTATTTCCCCGATTCCCAGATCCCTTAGGATTAGACTCTGTCCAAACCGCCCAATTCTCATCCTTGCGCCTCTGTTCCTCGGCCCTCTCGTCCGCGAAAGCAGTCCCGTCCATTTCAGTACCAAGTTGCATCTGCTCCGAAGACGTCGGGGCGTTCTCCGATGCTGCACCTCCGCCAGAGAGGAGATTTCCACGCCTCTGTTCTTCTGCTAGGAACTCGTCGATGGACATCGTGGGTAGGCGATGAGATGGTCGGAAAACTTGGGCTTGTAGTCGTTGACGATCCGCAGCGACAGATGATGTGTTTGAAGGCATAAGGGTGAAAGGTCGCAATGGCTATCATTTATCAGTAGGAGCGCATTCTGGGAAAGGACCACACTTACCCTTCCCTGGGGATCCAACAGCGGTCCATTGACATCCGTTAAAACCTGATTGATCTTATCCAAGCGCCAGCTCCTATCCTCCCATTCTCTATCATTGCCCGGCGGCTGCGACTGCTCACTCGGGGCGTTCCTCAACAACTCCATCTCCTCCGCAACACTCCTCATCTGCCCCAGTGCCAATATCCACCCCAGCCTCAGACTACAGAACACCGCCTCCCGCGCCTTGTCTTCCTCATATTGAGAGGGAAGTTCCACAAGCTTAGAGAAGAGCTCGTAGTCCCCAGCTGCGCCAGGGAGCAAGGAGGCTATTCGCGCCCGGAGCTCTTTCTCAGCTTTGAACTGCTTGATCTTCACTTCCCGTCTCAAGGCAAAATCAGGCGGGATGGGCTTGTCAAACAGAGCCTTGTTTGCCTCCCCTACAAGTCCATAGGATTGGACGCGATCAAGGAAAGTGCGAAAATGCCGCTGGAAGGATGTCAGCCAACGCAAGGCTGCAAAGCAATACACACCTCGGACTCCCTTAATCTCGTCATCCTCTCCTCCCTTCCCTCCGTCCTCACCCTCCCCACAGCCTCACCCCACACATAATCCACAAGCATATAAACCGCATCTTTCGTTCCTAAGTCGTCGACAGTCTCGTTATCGCTAAACAGGGCAAGGTCGTCCACCCGAGAAGAGAGCAGTTGCAGGTCAGAGATAGCGGAGAGGAGGGATTGTTGGGTGGATGCTGGGGAGTGGGGCGAGGAGAGAGAAGAGAGGGCTCGAAGGAAGACGGAGGAGAGTGAGGCGGAGAAGTCGGCAGACATTGTTGGCACTGAAGGTGGTGGGAGGTATGCTTGGGTGACCCTGATATTCACCCGCCCCTAAAAGAGTATTATGAAGCCGATTACACATGACTCTATTCACATTCATGCTGCTGATCAACAGTCTCTCATTGGTATACCTGTATCACATGCCTAATCTTCACAGCGTTTACACAAGCCACCTCAAGCCGGCAGATCGCGGCAAGCAGTCCAAGACAGAGCAGAGGAAAAGGCAAGGAAGTACTAGTGTACTGTACTGAACGGTAGAAGGGATATACTTAGAGTTCGTCTTGTGACCACGCGAAGGATAAAAATGGGAATAGTGCAATGCGGAAAGGGAAACGATGCACGTGCAAGAGTTGAAAATGACAACAAATCGAAGAACTCGAAAGCAAGCAGTCCGCAAACATTATAGAACGAGCCCTACACCCGCTGCCAGCCCAGCTGTTACGGCAGCAACGGTGAACACGTATGGGCGCATCTCCTCCCATCCCTGGGCAGCACTGTAAAATAGGCTCAGAACGGTGGGCGTTGTCGCCCGGTACGGTGTCGCGCGGGTGACGCTGGCCTGTGGCATGGGTACTTGGGGAAGAGGGTTCGAGCCTCCCCCTCCACCAGAGCCTGATGGTGGAGGAGCGACGTAGCTCGCCCAGAGGTAGCGTTGTGCGACACCTTCGAGGTCGGCGACGAAAGCGGCAAGGACATCGGTAGCGTTCGTCAGCCTAAAGTCACGCAGGGTGGGGATGCCTCCGTCTGTTTCGACCTTCTCCCACTCGAAGTTCATGATCATCTTCAGCCGGGGGTAGGTGGACAAGAACGTAATATTCGTGATACCGTCTCGCCACCAGGCACCTTCGACTTGTTCTTGTGTCGGGGAAACGGTGAGCCAATCAGGAATGCCGGTTTGGTTAACTTTCCAGGATGCGCCACTACTCATAATGAGCTCATGCAGGAAGATGGGGTCGAAGGACGTACGATTCTGAAAGCATGCACGGGTGTTTCATACAGTAGGCATTGTAAAACGGCGTATACTGTGTCCTTTGCTGTCCGATTTCGTCCACCTCGGGTAACACACCATTCATTGAGCCCTCGAAGAAGCCCTGGGGCTGAATGACGTTGTAGTCATTGGGGTAGTTACCCTTGTAGTAGTATGACACGCCGTTCCAGTCTACGTACGCGTCACCAGGATAGTATGCCGCGTACGCGTCGTCGGTGTTGTCCAGTTGGCCATCATTGTTCGTGTCTAACGCAGCCTGGTCGGCAGCAGAGGCGACCGAGTCAAGTGTGATGCCGTAGGGATAGCCGACAGCGGCGTTCGGTGACCAAACAAATGCACAGGACGGGCAGGACTGCTTGACGGTGTTGTAGAGCGTTATCCAAGTGGACTTGAACAATGTCGGTTGGGTCGCGTAGGGGAACCAGTTGCCGTTCATCTCGGGTGCGAAACGAAGGCAGACGGCATGCCCTGCTGCAATGTAAGATTGGAGTTGAATACCGAGAGCAGCCATCTAAACTAGTTTAGTTGGATTCGCTTTAGGGGAAAGAGTACGCACATCCTGGACCGTTACGGCTGCAAGCCCATTCAGCGGATAGACGGTGACGTAAATCCCCGCGTCCGTGTCTGTCTCTGTCACCTTTGTCGCATTGATGATCCCTCCAACACCGGTAACATCGTTATATTGATCGACAGGGATGTTCTGTGAGAATTGGAACCAGGATATATTCCTGCCTACACGGGCGTTGGCAGCGAGCGGGCTGTCGCCTGAAGTGACGGAAGTGTCAAGCCAGAGACCGAAATACAGTTGACCGTCGGGGGGTTCGTTGAGTGCTGTTGCTGAAGCGGCTGCTCCTGCGGGAGAGGTGGAAGTGGCTGCGAGGGGGTTGGAGGTTGTTCGCTGTGCGAAGGCAAGGGGGAGAAGGAAGAGGAGGGCGAGGGGAAGGATGGTCATGGTCGTCTGTGGGAGGGGAGGGAGGGGTGCGAGTGACCTTTCGTGCGATGTGGGCGGGAGAGGCGCGGAAGGTGAGAGAAGAAAGTAAGTGAGCTGGCCAAGGGCTTGTCACGGTTGTGAGACCACCAATGATGAACCCGATTCGAGCGGGCGGCGGAGCACCGGTCAAACGCTGATGATCGTCGTTGATAAGCAGCAGTTGAGCAATTCAGAAAGAATGAATCGTTTTCTTCCCTTGCTGGTTGTTGTCCAAAGATTTGAATTGTTGTTAAATGAGAGACGGTAAAAGAGTGAGAAGGATTACACCAAGGTGAAGGGATGGGATAGGGAGAATGGGCGTGGAAGGGGCTGCCACACGATGTACGGGCGGTAACGGACACAGACATCACTCAATTTGCATCCGACTTCAGACCCATCAGGGGAAAGCCATGAGAAATTAACGGGTCTCGGTATGATCATCTGTATCCGCGTGGATTGACTCCGACTTCCATGTAAACACCCCACATTGTAAGAAAACATTATAATGGACTAAGTAACGCTTTCGTAACATTTTACCCTCCAAGCCCCATCATTTTGAGAAGCGGATATTGTTCAAACGCTCTCAGTCTACACGACGGGTCTTCTGTTCTATGCCAGGACTTTGGCTTGGCACAGTTTGCAATCTACTTTCAACTCTTGATGTGACTATACACTGCCTCGCTATTCAGGACTTGATCCGGGATTACTGTCATATTTGCGCGGTCGTCCGTTGATCCGCCCTCAAAGCGCTTCTACACACATGGATTTACGTTTGCATCGCGGACCTCGCCCCTCTGCCCGAATCTACCACGATTTCCCCAAATTTACTTTCCCTCTTGCCGTTTTTCTGGGGTGTGCAACGCCAGCCAAATCTCTCTGCCCCACTCCGTAGCACGTTGGCGTGAGCTGTTATCATTCTGTTAGAGATGCGAGCAGCGAGGCCTTCGACCAGGACACTGGAACGAGAAAGGCTAGGGAAGAGCACGGTCCAAGATTTCCGAATATTCGATGTTTGATGGCTTAGGCTACAATATCTCCTGTTGTGTTTGGTTACCACATGCATGTCACATCCACCGATAAATCACCTCACCCCTACGCCCCCTCCACGGGCCTCCCCCTTATCCCATCCCACCTATCGAAGTCCATAACCCAATACTCGCCTACCTCGCTTTCCACTCTCCTGAACCCCAACTTAATATACCACCTCCGCCCGGCTTCGTTTCGGCTATCGATGCCCGCCCAGACACCTTTGTACCCCTTCGACGAAAGATGCTCGATGATCGTGTGCACCATCTTGCGGCCCCAGCCGGTACGCTGGTACGCGGGGAGGATGTCGATATGCAGATGCGAAGGGTAGATGGAAAGCACGTCCTGCCCCGTCTTTGGGGGCTGTGGGGATGTCAGTATTGGCATACTTCTGCAGAGGAAGACGCACGCTAGCAAACAACCCGTAATAATACTTGTCCGCGTCTGTCCCTTCTGATCCAACGGGGTACTTTTTCGCCAAAAGGGGGAACCAGTCCCTGCCCCGCTCAGCTTCATACAACGCCGTATCGTACGCGCCAATGATATACCCCACGACCTCCTCTTTCCGTTCCTCCGTCCCCTCCTCCCCTTCCTCACGTTCAGCTGAATCTACAAGTACAAATGCGAAAGTCCCGTCTCTAAGTACGTACGGTTCAGCGTAAACAAGGCCCAAGAGTTCTCCCCGGGAATGGAGGTGCTCTGCGCTCGTGCCGTAATTCCCTGTTAAGAGGCAGATCTTGGATAGCGAGGGCGCATCCGCGGGAGTGCCAGGGCGTAAGGAGAGTGGCATCTCGCGCTTGAGGAGTGGGAGGGGAGGGGAATGTCTGACCGCATGCTTTATGGTGGGGATGTGGGGATGTGGGGCGGAGTAACCTCGGATCGATCGGGCAGGGCAATACGTGATAGATAAGGAGGTTTGTACGCGACTTGGACCTTGCTGATACTAAAGGGGCGAAACGAGGATGTTGATATAATATCGCAATACCATGTGGAAGCGATCGTGAGCAGGAGAAAGGGCATTGGCCAGGTGTTGAGAAAGTGCAGGGAAGACACGGCTATGGCCGGATCATATAATCTGAACATGTCACTTAGAATTCCAACAGCTCTGCTTTTTCAGGTACGACCGGAGAGAGTATTTGCTCACTGACATAGCCATGGTGCAAGCTAACATCTGCAGTTCATAGCGCCATCCCAAGTCCGATGAAGTAAATGCAGCACTGCGTTCTCAACCCTATGCAAACTAATCTATACATGGTAACTTCATACAATAAAATCATGGTTATCACATTCCGCACGAACAAAGCGGAGGGCATCGAGTCGCTACCAGAATACGACCGGGAGGTGCCCGATCGACCAAAGGTAACAGATCTTGGAAGCTTCGATGACAACATCGACCGAAGCGGTTCAGCGCATACTGGTCAGGGAAATGCTGCTGCCATGATCAGGTGATTCTGCGAGCCGGCATATCCGGCATGTTGCTAGAACTCGGTGAATCCAGACTGGCTGGGAGCGTATTGAGAGCGTATGTCTTCGTAGTCGGCGAGATCACCTTGACTCTTGTAATCGAACGTGGAGAGAGTACCCATGTCCGTGCCGGCCATGGAGGTAAACGACAACTTGCGACGGAGACGATCAGACTGGGAGTAGGCAATACCACCCTGTGGCGGGACCTGGCTAGGAGGAATTGCCGATATCATCGAAGCACCGTCACCGAGACTGCTTTGCGGCAAATCCTGGGAGATCATAGAGGGTGCATATGCAGCCTTCCGTCCATTCTGTCGAGGAGGCGCAGCGAAAGGACCAGGGGCAGTGCTGAACAAAGGCAAACCATTAGAGTACGGCGCTTGCGATACAACTGATTGAGCGTCAGAAGGAATGTAGGCAAGTGGATCATGGGTCCTAAGATAGCCTGAGTCAAAGCGGCTGGGAATTCCACCATTACGACTATCCCCAGCAGGTGCAGAAGGCATAGCGTCACGTCCAGTGACTTCATGACGGCGGGTGAACGGATTCATCGCTTGATCAAGAGTGCGACGTGGCTTGCTGAACTGTATCATAGATGGTTGAAGATTGTTGAGAGGACCTTCGACAAGGCAGCCTTTCTCCTTGTAGTGCGTCAGCAGATAATGCCAGAGAGGGTGCTTAGAACAAAGCATTAGAGAACAATAGGAGATGAGTAGCATAGCTATACGTACCTTGCTCAAGACCTTCGGATTTCCGAGAATTACGACACCGTATTTCGCACGGGTCAAAGCGACGTTGAGACGACGAGGATCGTTCAGGAAGCCAATCCCTTGATGCTCGTTGCTCCTGACGCAGCTAAGGATGATGTAGTCCTTCTCGCGTCCTTGGAAGGCATCGACACTTGCAACTTCTATCTCCTTATACAGTTCTTTCTTCAAAGATCCGTTGAATTGCATGTAGTTGACGATGTAGGAGCGCTGGCCTTCGTACGGCGTGATAACACCAATTTGATTGGGCATGACGCCTGACTTGAAGAACTTGGTTACGATCTTCTCAACGTTGGAAGCTTCAGTCCTACAATCTACTGTTAGTACAAGTTCAATCGAGTGGGATGCAACACGTACCTGTTCAAGAAAGACGTTCCACTCGACGAGATTTCTTCCTGACCAAGGTTCTGATAGAAGAACATAGGCATATCCGGGATCGGCCACGGGAAGTCGATATTCTTACGAAGCCGCTCCGGAGCTGTCACACCATTCTGCAAAGTGCCCTCATAGAACATGTTTGAAGGGAATTCCGACAGACAGGGGTGCATGCGGTACTGAACCTGCAATCGGATGGGACGATTTCCAAGCACCACGAGGCGCTCGAACAGAGACTGCGTCAGGCCAGCACGCGCCGCTTTCTTGTTCATAATGACAGGTCCAAGTTGCTGAAGAAAATATCAGTATTTATTCTGTCCTCCAGACTTGGTATTGCGCACTTGATGATCTCCAACAAGAACAACCTGCTTACACCCCAGAACGAGAGGAATCATACACTCTACAGGCAGGTCAGAAATGGAGTGGCAACAGAGAGGTATCCTGCTCACCAGGCTCAGCTGCCTGAGTCGCTTCATCAATGAGGACAGTCCTATACTTCATTTTTGCCAACCTAGGGTCTCCAGCCCCAACGCAAGTACAACAGATAACATCGGCAGCGTTCAGAATTTCCTTCTCGCTTGCACGAACCAACGCTTTGTACTTCTTTTCGTCGTTCTGGCTAAGTTCGCCTTGCTCGTTCTTCAGCTGGATGAGTTTCTGCAACTCGACCTGACTCGTATTGGCGGCGACAAGTCGATGGAGAGTTAGGAAGTCAACCGAGGAACTCAGAGCTTCCCGAGATTTTGCCGTCAGCCGAACGACTTTTAATCCAGTTAAGTGAATTCGCTCGGTCAGTTGATCAACGGCAACGTTGGATGGCGCGCAGACAAGAACCTGACCGGGGTTCATTCGGCACAGGTGGTAAATGATCGAAGCAGACGTGACGGTCTTGCCGGTTCCCGGAGGGCCTTGGATGAGAGAGATAGGCTTCTGGAGAACGCTCTTGACAGCATACATCTGGGAGTGATTGAGCTCCGGCAGGCCAGGGGCAGAGAACCTGCTGAGTGTGAGTGACTGTCGATGCAATTATAGGGCTATGCATACCTCTTAGGCATCTGCGTTCTGAGCACCTGAGGCTCTAGCTCATGACCGAGGAGCTTATGATACTGTGGTGAACGTCAGCAAGTCCACCTTTATACGTCACAATTAGATACTCACAATGTAGCCGCTGACACTCTTCTCGTCCACTGCAAACGTCTTCATTGCGAGCTGCATGCGATCAAAGCTGGTTGACTTCCAAACGAAGTCCGCGGAGAAATTATGGGTGCATTCGACAGGGACGCCATCAGGACGGCGTAGCTCGAGACCAATTTCGTCTGAAACATCTATGATATTGTCAGACGACGTAATAATATGCAGGCAAAGAATGCGTACTGTTCGGTATCTTGATGACGTGTCCGACACCCTCCCAGGGCTTGTGCATCTCGCCATCGTATCTCAATCTCAACTCGTCTCCAACCGCAAGGCGAACCTCTCCGCTCTCTAGCTTAGGCATGCAGAACCAAGCGACTCTCTTCTGGTTCAAGCCGAGATCCCACCGAACAACAATGTCGTTTTGGGTTTGAGATTCCTTCAGCTTCTTATCGTAGTCCGCTTCTATTTTGACTAAGGGACCGAAGATATTCTGATACTGATAGGCATCTTCGTACCTTTGAGGGAGTCATATCAGTATACCCTTACTCAGCAATCTGCTAAACAGAAAAATGACGTACCGTAATAAGATCGGCTGGGGTTCATCGTCAACACCCGGTCGTTCCAGATCCTCCAGCGTTGCTGTAGCGTTTTCACGCCATAAATCTTCTAATTTGTTGATCTGCTGGAATGTGATTTGTCTCGCTCTCATCTGCTCTTGCTCGCTAGGCGGCTTCACCAACCAACTCAGGAACTGACGGTCGTCAATGAGTGGCGCCCAAAGGCTCGTGTTCCAGGTGATGTCCTTGGATATCGCGGCGCATGGTTGACGGCAAAGAAGTACCACAACCGTGTCGCTCTTCGCCGGAATAAAACCAAGCATGAACACGTTTTTGCTACCGCAGTTGTAACATTCAGGGGTAGTCTCCCCTAAAGGCGACTCCTTGTGCAAAATGACCTCTTTGTGTTTCGCTCGAACCAGATGGTTGACGATATGTGATGCTGAAGAAGATCCACGACCATTGCAAAACCACTTCTGGCATATGAGACAGCGAACGACTGAGGCTGGTGCATGTATGCCACAGTAGCTACAACAAAGGCTGAGTCATTCCTACGTGTGCTAGTAAGCGCTGGACGTACCTGCACGCCCACTCGGGCAGCTCGACATTCTCTTTCGAGTCGTCCAAGTTTCCATCAAGGTTCCCATCTATGTCCTCCAACGCCTCAGTTTTGGCGGTCAAGGATATATTCTGCATTTGTGCCGCCACCAAGTCCGGTGTGACAGAGTGGGGATGATTTCCTGATGCATGTGCAGCGTGATTGTGGAGATTCGGTATTGCACTGTTCATGGTATATCCCGAGTATAGCGACGTAGTATCGTCAAAGGCGAGTGCATATTGGGATGCACCTTCAAAATGTTCGAACGCATCCATCGTCGTCGTCGTCGTTGTTTGTGTCGATGAGTTCAGTTTGAAGGAGACTAGTCCCTAACTCAGGGTGCCACAGCTTAGGATTTTGTCTCCGAGTCTGGTGAATGCTCTCCCGTTCGAAATTATGCATCGGCGGGTCGGCCTCTTTCTTGTCTCGATCCATCTGCTTGACTTGACGGTCTGCGCATTACAGCTCGGGATTTGCTTTTGGGACTCTGCCTGTTGTGGAAACTTGATCAAATAAGCTAGGAAGCTCTTCCGTAGCAGATGAAGCTCACCGAAGCCATCTCGCGGGATGATGCCTCCACCATCCACCCATACTATACCCTAGAGTTTTTTCCACCACGTACAGACTCTGGATTTGAGAATCTGTTGACTCGCCTATCTCGACTGTCAGTTCTGAATCCAATTGGATTGACGATAACATGGGGTGCTGGAGGGTCTACAAAGCAGCGTAGTCTGGATCTGGCTGAAGCCGCTCTGGGTGAAAACCCTGTTACGATCCTCCACTTAACTTGCACAAATATGGAACGGGATATGTTGGATGATACTCTTGATGTAACACCATTTCTGTGTCTATGCTGTTCTGGACTCTAACGGCTCATTCAGAATGCCAAAGCTCGAGGTATCCAGAATATTCTAGCCCTCCGCGGAGGTCAGCCGACTTGCTGCTCGGATCTACCCCTCTTTTGACAAATGCTTGCTATGGTGCATAGATCCGCCACGAGGAGAGGAGTACTGGATTCCATGTGATCCTCAGTTCCAGCACGCGTCCGACCTCGTGAAGTATATTCGGAAGCGCGATGGGGATGAATTCTGCGTTGGGGTAGCCGGTCAGAAGCTTTTGCCCAGCTTCTCATGTGAATGGCTGACACCCTCTTCCAGCCTACCCTGACGGTCACAGTTTAGATGAAGATGCCGAAATCGCGAATCTCAAGCTTAAAGTGGACGCCGGTGCCGATTTCATCATCACCCAACTGTTCTACGACGCGGACGGTTTCTTGATGTGGCTGAAGAAAGTGCGCGAGTCCGGTAATTAGGGTCCTCATATTTGGCAAGAGGGGCATGTTCCTGACCCTGCGGATCAGGTGTTGAGGTACCCGTACTTGCGGGTGTGATGCCGATCCAGTCGTACGCCTCCTTTCTCCGTATGACCAAACTATGTGCAAGTCGGGTTCCACCATCATTAATTGCCTCACTGGAGCCCATCCGGGTATGTTCCGTTCTGACTTTGGTATAGCGCCCAACTTAATAGCCTTGTGTCCAGCACGACGACGAGGCCGTGAAAGAGTTTGGAGTGGAATTCGCCACTGACATGATCCGCACCATCACATCCCCGAATCACAACGGTCCCACTGTCCAGGGAATTCATTTCTGCACATTGAACCTTGAGAAGAGCACGTGGCGGATATTGGACAATCTGGGATGGATCGGCACGACTGCCCACGTCCTAGATGAAGGAAAGAACCGTCTGATCCAGGTGTGACTATCATTCCGGTACTTATTACTCAGGCTAAACTGTTGCTACCCTTTTAGCCGGACTCTAACGTCCGTCCCTCCTCAGCCTCCCTGTTGATCACACCGCATGATGCGGCTTCGGCTGCCACGCCCAAGGAAGCCGAAGACACAGGCCCTATATCGCACACCACCACTACCTTGCCAGCACTGCCAGCCAACCAAGCAGTCACCTGGGATGACTTCCCAAATGGTAGGTTTGGCAGCGCGGATAGTGCCGCGTTCGGGGTCAGGGACCCGTACAAGAATGAACTAGGGATGACTGTACGTACCCTGCCGAGGACTACCCTGAACGGTCCACTAAGAACGCTCAGGCAGCCGAAGTACATCGATTGTGGGGGCAGCCAGAGACGATCGAAGACCTCAACGCGATGTTCCTCAAGCATCTTCGTGGCCATTCGCCGTTTTCAACAACTCCCTGGTCCCCGAACCCCATCGCGGCCGAGACCAAATTTATCCTTCCGCGACTCATCGAATTCACATCGAAGGGAACGTGGACAGTGGCCAGTCAGCCAGCGGTAGACTGCATGCCCAGCGACGATGAGGTATTTGGCTGGGGCCCGAAGGATGGCTTCGTTTTCCAGAAAGCATTCTGCGAATTCTTCTGCGAGTTTGTGACTCTTGAGCGCTTGAAGCATAAGGCCGCCGCACTGGATACTGTGAAATTCTTCGCTGCTAATGCCAAGGTGGGAAAAGATGTACCATATTTCCAGTACATCCCACATGCTAATCTGTGCACAAGGGCGAAATGATGACAAACATGGCCCCCGGCGAATCGAATGCTGTAACTTGGGGTGTGTTCCCAGGCAAAGAAGTCATGCAGCCCACGGTTATTGAACGCTCAGCATTCCAAGCGTGGGCGGTGAGTACTTCTCGCAATATTGCCTTCCGATAAGTAGTGTTCTCTAATAAGTTGTTAATTGCTACAGGAGGAAGCATTTGGAATCTGGTCAGAATGGGCGCTGTTCTTCCCTCCGGCATCGACGACACGTCAGCTACTGGAGCGGGTGCGTGACGAGCGCTGGCTTGTGAGCGTCTGTCACCACGATTTCAAGAACCCAAACGATCTCTGGGATCTTCTACTCGAGACATGACACCGGAAAGCGATCCGACTGATGGGGGTTTGTATGGGTACATCGACGATGCCGCTTATTTTGAATGATGTGAGATGAGAAGGAAGGAGGGGGATTGCATGGTCTGTAATCTGTCTTGCCTCCTCTGAGCATGCGTAGAATGAAGAAATGTAGCAAGTATGAATGTAGATTTTGGGGTTGATGGATTTGGGGGTCCGACAAAGCCAAGAAGGACGCTTGTGAGCCACCAATTTTGCGCTTTTTTTTGGCGCATGGGAGCTGCGCAGAGAGTGGGGCCGAGCTCCTCTGTTTGGATGGACTGATCATCCGAGATCTAGACCCTGGTGGCGGTGTAATGCGTCGGCGAAATCTCGATAACGGACTTGTGACCGAACTCCAGGGTCCCGGCTCCACAAGGAGCAGCCCACGCGAGAAGTTTCATATGGCGGACGGATATACGTGCCGACCACCCCAGCGCAAGGAAACCTGGCTCTCATCGCCTATTGTCCTTCTTCTCCATCTCTCTATCTATCTAGGGATGCTTCTAGCTCTCTGTACTGCCACATCTTCTAAAGGTCGAACTATACCCTTTTCGTCCCATTCAACCGAACCCAACACCGCCATACGCCTCCTTTCACCCCTATCATAGCCAAAGTTGGCTGATATCATCGGCCCCTCTTCGAGCTAAACCCAAGCAGTATAGTTTATGATTTGCATTATCTAAGTATTCGGCTGTGGAATTTATTGAGGCATAGTCCGAAATTGCGGGACAAGTCTGAATCACAATTTGCATCCAGAGCGCTCCGAACCCCCCGGTGCCTGAACTACACGCTGACGGCTGAGGGTCTGAGGCGGAAAACAGACAGCAAACCAGCACCGGGAGCTGAAACCCCGTCCATCATACCAGCACTTTCTTTTGTGACTGTAATCTCAGTCGCCCCACTCGACACACTCCTCACGCACCGCACAGGCGTACCGCTTCCACCGGCCCACCCACCTCACCTCCGCGAAGCCTGCCATTGTGGGCCACCAACCTAGGCAAAGTGCGCACTGCTCCCGCTTTTTGATCGAGTGAGATTCAGATCGTACCATTTTGGCCCCAACGCCGAGATATTCATCTAGGTATCTGAGCTTTTTGACGCCCAACCGGCTGCCTATTAGGCAACCATCTGATGAGGCCGAAGGAATTAAAACATTGTCCACGCGTCTCCCTTCTGACACTTACTTCTGCTCTCCTTAGCGCGTGGCCGACGTGCGGCAGGTGCCAGGCCAACGCCCTCTTCTGCTCTCTACAGACTTCTCTCTTTCCGCGCAGTGGCTCCAAGGTTGTCCTCAAAATACGGCCACAACTGCGCGTTGTCACCCTGTGTGGCGTTCGGGATCACCTACATTCTCTTTTTACGGCATACACCCGGATCCTCCGTCCTTGACCTTGGTCAATAGCCGTCGTTTCTCTCTTCGAACTCACTCACACGACATCCTTGGTTTATGGAGCTGTCCTCTATCCTGAATCCGGAGACAGAAGCTGAGCGACACGGCTACTCTGCAGAAAGAGCGGATGATCCAGAGGGTCCACCCCCGCCTAGGGGTTCCGGGGGTCATGGAACGCCCTCAGTTGGACGAAAATACCCCTGCAAGGTTTGTCAACGAGTTTTCTCGACGTCAGGCCATTTGAGCCGTCATATGAAAGTGCATACCGGGGAACGTAAGTATGTTTGCCCCTTTCCCGGATGTAATGTAAAGTGCAATCGGTCCGACAACCTACTACAGCAGTAAGCAATTTTTTCCATGAATGGTTCGGAGCATTGACGATGACCCTAAACTCCCAGCTACCGTGTCCACCTACCCAAGGAAGAGAGAAAACTAGGAAATACGCACGTTCGCGATTCGTTGCGCCGTATGAACTCCTATACCTCTTCCTCTTCGTCAACGGGACAAGTGTCGCCAGGGGTCTCCGAACCACAAGAACATTCTTACTCACCGTCCCAACCTAGCCTCGTCCAACAGCGCAACCCGGCACTGGCTCCCCCGTATCCCCTTCAACATGCATCCAGTTCACATTATCCTCGTGGGTTGCGTTCTTCAGCCACGAGTCATCCTTGGAAGACTAATGCCCTTCAAGCGCCGACGGACTACACGGCCACTGGCCACCCTATCACCCACCCCGCACAATCTGCGATGCATTTGGCGCCACCTCATCATCGGGCACCCCAACAGCCTCTGCAACACCAAGCATACCCTAACGCTCGTTATATTCAGTCGCGGAACCAACATCGACAGTATGGCCCACCTGATGATGACCAGGAGGAGGAAGATACCTCATCCTCGGGCTCCAACGAGGACGAGGACGAGGATGAGGACACCGACAACAACGATCAGACGGTGAGACACAGACTGCCACCCTCTCATCCGGCAGGTTCACCCGCACAACGCGGCTTCCCAGTGTCTTCCAGCCGATACGAAGGACGATAGCGACAAGAAAGGGCCACTATTCTCCCTTCTCAGACGACGCACGCTTTCGCCGATCCCGAGGCTCTCCGACCATGCATATTCAACGGGGTACTCCCCGTCATCGTCCTTTAACGAACGATCGCCTTGGAATGCAGGAAGGGTTCGGCGTTTTGTCCCCATTACTGCCCTGGTGGGAAGTCGTTTCTTCTACCTGCAGCTTCAACCACAATACCTCCCACACGTAAATTTGTCGACGTACCTTCAGCAAAAGTAACGAACAATACCGTTTCCTCCAACACATTCTGAGATCAGAGAATGCGCTATCCGCTGGCAGCCAAAATACACGAGTTGAGCAATGCGGACCCCAACATATCGAGCAGACAATCGCGCGATGCACTGATATTTTCTTTGCAATACAAGTTTCAGCATATGGAAGAAACAGATGTATGCAATTATGCAGAATATTGAAAGAATCCTCGGGTTACTTAGGCCCCTCGGAAATCATAGAAATGACACCCATCAGTGAAAAGCACAGAAACCCAAAACGAGAAAAAGCGGCAGACCACTCTGGCAAACTTCGCGGCGTGGGTACAGTCGTTGCACGAAAATATCGAATCACGGAATGTCGGAAAATGCCATTCCGTGAACAGGACGGCTGCTCGGCAGATAACATGAAATACTCCGCGTTAAGAGTAGTTTTTATGGAGCGCCAGTGAACGCGAGGGCGTGTTCGAGGGATGTCGTTCTCGGAGATGCCGGGCATTGCGCTGTTTTACGTTCGAAACAAGTGCAAGGTTATAGAATGGTGGCTAGGATGGGAGGGAGTACGCAGGGTAGCGTACGTAATTGTGATTGGCATGTGTGCACTGCATATGTGACGCCAAGTTAGTGCTTGCTCTCTGCATATATGCACATAGAACGCACTTGGACTAAATTCAACCACATTACAGCCGCTCATTCACTTTCTTCGTCCTCGCTATGCTCTTCCTCATCGTCGTCATCTTCTAGCTCTTCGTCGTCCTCGAGGCTGTCCTCCTCCCCTGACAGACCCTCCTCGCCGACACGTTCATGTTCGAGATCGACGTCTTCTTCTTCTTCCTCTTCAGCTTCTTCCTCCTCCTCTGCATCATCCTCGCCGTCAAAATCTTCGATGTCGTCATCCAGATCGCGCCATTCTGCGAGATCGACTGCCTCCTGGCCGTCCTGACCCTGGGGCAGGATCTGCGCAGCTTGGAGCAGAGGTCCTCCCTCTGGGGGCGTACCAGGCTGGTCCGGAGTGCCTGGATTGACTGCGTGCAGCTCCATCTCTTCATCCGATTCGTCCTTATATCACCATCATGAGTGTGCCTCGTTGTGGTTGACTCGTGGAATGACGTACCCCTTCTTGTTCACGGTCAGCTGATTCCTCAAAGGCCGTCTGTACCTTGCCATGAGGCACGAAGATTGTGCTTCCCGTCTCACGTATTGCGCGGAGCTGCATCACAAAATCAGTCTTCCTACGAGAAGGACAATAGTGGAGCAGAAGCGTACCTGTGCCTTCACCTCGTTCTCCTCGTCACTGAGATCGTCAGCCTCCGAGGCTTGGTCCCGACGCTGCCCGAAGCGATACCAGACATGACGTGGATTTGGAGTTGGGTGGGGAGTGGGAAGAGATGGGTGATACAGTGGAAGGCGGACCTGCACTTGGATGATGGTCGAGGAGGAAGCCATGCTGAATGTTGAGCGTGAGGAGAGAAAGACGCGACGCGTTGTGATTGGGCCAGACGCGTGGCTATGACGTATGTGACTCTCCTTCATAATGGGCTGAATTCTCATCCATCACAACATGGAGCTATACTAAAGTTCATAATTTTGTTCTCATTCACATTTCGGTTCGACGTCATCACGGTAGAGTAGCCTCGTGTCCTGTTTCGTCATCTCCCGGTTGCAGTGCTATTAAGCCGCCATCTCGCCAGCGTGATCTGGGCATCACATGCCCACGAATGCGACGATCGCCTTCAGTGTCTGTGAGAGCCGCATTGAGATTCTTTAACCCATTATCGAATCCCTTCTATTGATTTCGAAACACTGCGAATACTTGCTCTTAGCCAGCACAAAAGTGCCCTGAAATCTTGATTGTCGGTTCCACTGAGTCAATTGTATTCTGTTCGGCAGTGGTTTCAAGCATGCGAGAATACCTGCGAACAACACGCCGCCGACTGCTAGACAGTAGAATTCAACCGAATGTTGACTCAACAGCAATATTTGCTCGGATGAGCTGATCGAGACGGACCACTACTCCCCAACAGGATATCACAGAATTGAGGAAGGAAATGACGAAATATAAACCAAGTAGAAGGCTTTATGAAGGGGAATTGGGCCACAAGAGTTGATGATGGTTGCTGTCCGTTTTGAATGGTTATAAATTAATAATATGGCCAATTGTATGGCCTGCCCGGCTTGCATAATCGGTAGTGCGTCAGACTCTTACATGGTGGGATCTGAAGGTTGCGAGTTCGAGCCTCGCGTTGGGCTAGTTGAAATACACTTTTTGTCTATGATTGACGCCCTTCCCTTTACTCCTAGTACTTTGCCAAAATCCTGGAAAACTTGCCGAGGCTTGTCAGACGACCAAATTTTCGAAGGGTGAGGTGGAGGGATCTGCTTCTGGAGAAACCCAGGCCTAGGGGAAGTGCCTTTGGTCACGTGTTTTCCGCTTCCGAAGAAGCAAAACAAACTCCGCGTCACCCGCGTCGCATCACGCGCGTAGGCCCTATCGGACACTCACCTGCATACTGCGACCTCGACGGTACTGACAGCGAGCTCGACACTCTCGGCGGCGACATCCATGGCCGACTCTTCGCAAATATTGCGTACGCCAGGAGAGACCCGCCGACGCGGGCCTCCCAAACCACATCAACCCTTTCAGCATGATGAGCTTGCTCGCGGAAAGTACGTATTGTGCATTATTACGGATATACCGTCATTGACCGGTTTGTTCGTACAGGCGCACAGGAAAGACTATCAGGGCAGTTCAACGAAATGAGGAGGATATGGAGGATTTTGATGCGTTGATGATGTCTGGAGGGACTTCAGTGGCGGCTAGCAGAGCGCGATCGCGGAAGGGAGCACGACTAACGGAGAGCCCTTTACGAAGACGAGCGGACAGAGATGACGAGGATTCTGAGGAGGTTTCGATGGAGATCGATACAAGTGAGCACTGTCCGTCTTGTACCTCTATATTTTGCTTGACTTTTGTATAGGCATCATCGGTGCAACAACTGCCTTTTTCGAGGGACGTCGTGAGTGGCCAGTCTGCCTTTTCACTCCCGTTCTCACCAGTTGTTTAGCTTCCGTGGTCAGCAATCGCTCCCGATTATCTCAGACAGAGGCGGACTACGAGGGTATACCTTCCCCTAGTGTTTCTCGAGTAGGGCGTCCAAGAAGCAGTCAGGCTCCTCTCGATCCTCGTACTCCACGAAGAAGACCTCGAGACTCTGATAACGAGGATGAGTTAACACGTCCACCGGATAGTGCCTCCGTCACTCGTATAACACCACATACTCCTGGATCACCCAGTAAATCCCGGAATGTGGTCGATGGTCCAGGCGAGGTCGAAGATGTTCCAGAGACATCGCCTACCGTGGCCGGTCCCAGACGGAAGGGGAAAGGACGGCCAAGTGGTGAATCGGCTGGCGAAGCGGAGCCTGCATATGATGACGATCAAATACCTCAATACGATGGTATGGATCTCGCGGCCGAGGAGCCGCCACCTGTGGAAACGAACGGACATGCAGAAGCAGAAGAGACAGACGAGCATAAAGACGTTCAGGAAGAGGAAGAGGAGGAAGGACAGGAAGAGGAAGAGGCGCAGGAAGAGGAGGAGGAGCAAGACGAAGAAGAGGACGAGGACGAGGATGATGAATCACCACCTCCGAAACGTGGCAGGGGCCGACCAAGGAAGGGGGAAGTGGTGAAGAGAAAGCCGGAGAAAGCAGCGACAACGTCGAAAGGCAAGCGTGGCAGACCCAGGAAAGAAGATTCACAACGAGCTCCCTCACGCAGGCCTAGGTCACAGACTGTGGAGTCTAGCCCTGAACGTAAGCATCTGTCTTGTTTATCAAGATTGTCGTCTAAGAGATTCTTCAGGAGGAATCAGCGAAGTGATTGATGTACACGGCGGCGATGGCGAGGGCCACTTCTTCGACTCAGAAGGTCGGCGACGGAATGCTCGCGTTCGATACGCTCCTCTTGAGTACTGGCGCAACGAGAAGGTTGTATATGGTCGACGGCAGTCTGGCGTGGCCGTAGTGCCTGTCATCAAACAGATCATCAAAGTCGCACCTGATCCTGTTAGGCCTGTTGGAACGGCACATAGGACTCATCCATGGAAGAAACGGAAAGCATCCACGGATAATGAAGAGGATGAAGAAGAGAATGAGGACGAGGATGAGGACAATGAACGAGAACACAAGAGAGCAAGGTCAGAACAACGGGGGTATGTTGAAGAGGATCCGCCGGAGAAAGGCTGGGACAGCAAGACGGATCCACTCGGCGTCGTCATGGAATACGTTACGAAGACTGAAGTCGAACGACGTAAGTCGCTGTATAGTACACCTGCCTGAGTTATTGAGTCTGTTATAGGGGTGGCGTTCACGCAGAGCATGGTACAACCTCGAGAAGCAGCGAATGCCAGGTTCAAATTCCAGAAGATCTTCGGCGACGGAGAGTTTCTTGCTGCTGGAATGCTGTCCATACCTGTTGGTGAAACGAAACCAGCAAAATCGTCGAAGGACAACAGCTACGTGAATACACCGTAATCGAGACCCTTAGGGCGTCGGGCTGACCCTGCCACAGGTATTTTACGTCATCCAAGGTGCCGTCAAGGTGCAGATCTATCGAACATCCTTTCTTGTATCCATTGGTGGTATGTTCCTCGTCCCACGTGGCAACGTTTATGAGATCGAGAACGTCGCCGAACGAGAGACTGTTCTTTTCTTCGCACAAGCACGCAAAATACCAGAAGATGGCAACGTGAGCATGCAGGACTCGCAAGGTATGCGCGTTTCCCAGTATCTCGAACGCCACCACTTACACACCCTGAAGGTACTCCGATAAAGCGACGTGCCAGTATGACTCCTGGGCCTGATGCCAGCCGAGTGTCGATGACACCGCGTCGATCAGAGCCACCGCGTAGCATTGAGCGCTCTGGATCGCGGTCCGGATCAAGAGCTGCTTCGTCCCGACCTAACGGATACCGGCGACGACATTGACTAGAGCCTGCGTTCTTTTCTTGGCCTGTATGGACTATTTGTGTCAGTGTTACCTTGTTGTATACGCTACTCTTGTAAAATAGTAATTCAAACCTGGAAAGATTTCGGTTGGCGTTCTGCTGTCCTCCCACAATGCTTCCGTTCTGTGCTATTACCGTCTGTTCGCAGAAAGCTCCAGGGAAGTAATTGACAAAATTGATTTTCAACTAGCCCAACGCGAGGCTCGAACTCGCAACCTTCAGATCCCACCATATAAGAGTCTGACGCACTACCGATTATGCAAGCCGGGCAGACAGACGTTAAGAGGGCTTTTTTATTGTACTGATTATAAATTGGCAGTTTCCGGAAACAAAGCTTCCTGGGATTTCCCGGTTGGTTGTCACCTTTCCATGCGGCACACACGCCTTCGACCAGCACATCCTCCACATCGCTCAAAGAAGCAGTCCTTGCGTGTGATTTGTCTGGGCTTCACACAGTTGTGGCGCTCAGCACGTTGTTCCGAACCTTCTCTGGATGATTTCTTGATGATCGGGCACATTCGCACATAAACTCAATAGACTTCAAACTTCTAAACTCGTCAATTACACTCCGACCTTAATCCACTTGTCGCCTTTGTTCCCATTCATTGTGGCTGCAGAGCATCTTCGTCCTCTATGATGTAACAGTTGATTCCTTCTGAAGATCTGACTGGAACCCTCATTGGGACATGACCAATCACCACACGCAGGCCAATTCTGTTCCTACACTTCTGAGTGCTTTCCTAGTTGGGGGGGTAGGACCACACGCGCGCCAGGTATCACATGGATTTCGCCATTATCTGCGCTATAGGACCCGTTGGATCTTGCCGCTGGCTGCATGTGGGAGGTGCTCGGTCCTCGCGCCTTTCGCGCGCCAACCGTCTTAGGCAACCCATTGTTTCTCATCGCTTGACGTGGCTTTCACGCTGTACCACACGTAGGGAAACGTGTGCACTGCGGACTCTGAACGGTGGTCGGCCTGATGGCCTTGGTTGAGATAGGACTATAAATCCACCGGTACCGTCTGTTCATCTCCGTGAGTACACCTCTTACCGATCTGAGTGAGCCTTTCTGCTGACATCAACCCTCAGTGTATTAACCCCTAGGCTGCAGAATATCTTCTTATAATGTGTGAACTACATCTCGTCACCGAAGTGTACCCCTGCGGCGCAACAGCCGACGTGACCCGGACCATCAAATGCGCTACCGCTGTGCGAGAGAAAGCTTTTTGTCCCAGCAATCAATGGGACAACAGGACGCACATCGGACCGATGAGACGCGAGAAGGTGGAGATTCACCAAGGCTGCAGGGAGTGTGCGAAGGCTTTGAAGTAACGGGGAGTAGTTGCTGTACATACGGAGGTGCGTATGAGCCTCTGACGTTGTAACTGAGACTGACCCGACGTTCTCAGTTTAATGTTTGATATTGAAATTGCTCGCCGAATGGTGGTACATTGCACCAAACTTATGATGATATGCATACATCTTAAATATACAGCAAGCCTAACATACTGAGAGGCTGAATGGCCCATATCACGGCGGTAACAGATGCCCGATCGCCTCCAGCAACTTTCCCATAAACGGGTGATCCCCGCCCCTGAACCTCCTAAACAATGCCACATACTCAGCCAGCAGCTGACTCACACTCAGCCCGTCCTCCGTCAGCCGGCTCACAACTTCTGGCGCGTACTGGTTAAGCACCGCCAGCGTCGCGGCTATGTCATACAGTTTTTCCAGGTAGCCAATCCCGTGAGCTTCAATACTCGTCATACTGAGCTTGTTGCATATCGCCAGCGCGGCATGGGCGATCGTCACTGGCAAGTCGACGCGCAGAGCCGGCTCAGAAGCAGAAGGGCTTATCAACCCATGGGACATGCATAACCTCCAGAGCCGGTTAAGCAGCCATTGCTGGGTGATAAGTACATCCGCGCTCTGGATCTCTCCCCGCTTCCACGCGCTCGTAAGAGAGGATAAGACCTCGAAGCTTTCTTGATTAGACGTATCAGCACTGTCTAGGGACTCGCTTAGCTGCTTGTGCAGCGCAAGAGCACGGGCGACGTCCAGTGTCGTACAAGTGCGACCAGCACAGCGCCCGTTCCAACAATCGATAAAGTCCTCGTCGACACTATCGAACAGCTTGAGATGTCGGACCGGGAAATCGTCCAGCTCTCCTACTTGCAGCTTGCTAGCTATTGCGCCCATGTCTTGCGATGGTCTGCCGCGGAAAGTGATCCCATGCCCGCGCTGTAACGCGTATGCTCTGGACGCTGTTAGCTCGCACCGTGGTCAAGCAACTAGATATGTACCTTTCTGTGATGCACAGGATCCAATACGTCCTGAGTCTTCTCTCCCTCTCCCCCTTCTCTAACCCCTCATAGCTCCCCGGGACATGAAGCTTTAGCAGCTGACCCAGCGTCACAGCCTCCGTAAGCCTGAACCAAGCGGCATTATCCTCTTTCATGCCGAACAAGCATGCAAAGACATAAAAGCTCGTAAGGACCATATCGATACTCGCGTGCTGGGCAAATAGCGCGCTGGAACGCATGCGGCAGCTTTCTTCTAGCAAGTGCCCGGCCTGGGCGCGTTTTTCCGGAAGGGAGGGCTCGCTCGCTTGCACGGGCTGGGTGAGGGCTAGAGCAGACATAGATAAGAGCATGGCGGCGAATTGTGGGTCTTGGTGGTGCTCGGACCGGTCTAGGCGGGAGAAGAGCCAGGAACGGGTGAAAATGGGCATGATTGGGTGGAGGCGTTCGAAGAAGAGCGCGATGTGCGGGATGAGGATGCTGTCTGAGAGAGGGGAGGGGATCGGCGTAGCGGTCTGGACTGGGGGTGGGGAGCGCTGTGAGACCGGTGTGAGGAGGGGCTGGGAGGACCGAAGGGAAGATTGGGAGGGCTGAGTGGTGATGTTTGGTTGTGTGGGGAGGACGAGCGGAGAACTGCTGTTACTCCCTCCCCAACTCGGCGGGCTGGGATGCAAGAACCCCAACCCGCTAAATCCGCCTAACATCCCTCCCGGCATCCCCCCTATCCCCATCTCCCCCACTGGCCCCAAAGGAGCAGCAGCATCAAACGGCCGGTCAAAGAACGTATCGGGCAGAAAAGTGTCCACATTCGGTAGTCTGTAGGTGGCGCTGACTTCTGGAGGTAAGGAAGAGAAAGGAGACTCGAGGAAGGAGGCGAAGGAGCTGTCTGCTTCGGCTGGGAGTTGGTCTGCTGCTTGTGCGTCTTGGGTTGGAAATACGGTTGGTGCTGCTGTGGGGAACCCGGTCAAGGGCTGATGGATGAATAGCCCACTTTGGCCAAGTCGGGAAAATTGAGCAGTATCGACCCAGGCATAACCTGGAGGGGTGCCCTGTGCGACCGGGGTGGGTGCGGTTCCTGCTCCCAATCCGGGCGTGGTCCTGTATCCTGGCACAACATCTCGAGGAGGACGTGCTGGATCTTGCTCGTGTTGTTGTCTTGGCTGATGTTGTGCTTGCGAGCCTTGGTCAGCACGGAGGGCGTTTATACGCCTGGAAGAGGTCAGCTTGCGGGACACGGACATGACAGCGAACGCAGATGAAGATGATGCACAGACACAGGGAGGTCACCCTTCGCCCAAGAGGGGTTTTATCCCTCGAAGGGCGTCGCATACTTGTTATCGCCGGAGGAGGTGAAAGGACATTGAGACGAGCACTAGCTCGTTCTCCAAGAGTTCAGACAAACTAGCCTGCTCTTCCGCGAGCGGTGGACAAGCTAGCTCGCTGCTCTCAGAGATAAAAGACGACTACACCACTCTCCAACCGTAGGGAAAATCCAGCCCCAGCCCCCTACTAAGAGCTAGCGCAGACTCGCCTCCACAAAATGCGAAACCACGAATCGATGCCATCGCCCCGCAAGAGAATGGATAGGATTGGGCAATGCGGTAGGGAGGTACTCACTTGCCACTCGACCCCCTCAAGCGGGGTTTATCGTATGTACACTGAACGGCGAGGCGAGGACAATTGTTGCAGGGATTTTGACCGTCGCACTGTTCGTGACCGCCACCAGCAGAAGTGGGAGATTGAGGGAAGGGCAGTTATAGAAGATTGAAGGTGAGCAAGTTAGTCTCCTATTACAGATGTACGGGGACCGTACCTTTACTCTCCGGAAATGACACTAAGCAAAAGAAATGAGCGCTATGTTTCATGTTTGTACAATGAAGAATGTGTACCTGATCACAAGCACGCTTAACGGGTGCCTGACGTTTCCCTCCTCCGGTTCCCGATGCATGGCCAGATCCGACACCGCTCGGTCCAGTTGTCTGGTTCGATGTTGAGAAGGATGTCTCAAGGTGAGAGTTCGGTGCGCTCGGTGGATGCTCGACGATGGATTCGGAGCTGATCTTCGGCATATTTTTCCCGTGACGCGGCTTGGTTTCTTCCACTCCTGTGTTCTCTCGCTGACTGATCCTCTGACAGTGCTTCACGTACAATTCTCGTTCCAGACAGGCGGAAAACAACGATGATCAAGCAGCAAGTAAGTTGATGTTCACCTCGAGAGCTACTGTAATCTATCGCCATCTGCCCCTACGCCCCCCTCGGTGGTACTCGGTACCCACTCCCCCGGATCCCATGCTTCGGCCCGCAGCTTCTAACTAGGGTTCCGAGACTGTGATTGGTAAGTGGACATCTTGGGCGCCAACTGGAGAGCGGTTCCGAGGGGGCCCGACATTACGCCGACCACAGTAAGGAATCATTCCTTGTAATCGATTGGTGCATAGTCCTAAGATCCACGCCTTTCACAAAGGCATGTACAACATTCACACATCAGAAGGTGTGGGAGGACAACGGAGGGGCGCTAGACGTCGTTCATGACTTGGAGAATCCTTTCACCCCTCTGCTCCAACATGGATTGCCCTTGATCGCGTCTGGGACGAACTCCAAGGGGAATAACTTGGAGCTCTCGACCCTCCCGTCTTCCCAGGCCCTTTTAACCACTGCTTCGCGCCCGTATGTGCATATTTGCTCACGTTCTCCTCGCTCGACGCTTCCCCAAACACCCCCCTGCCCTCTGCAAAAGCGCGCGACATCACGGGCAGGGTGAGGGCGGCGAAAAGCCTACGGTTTTGAAATCCAGGGAGGACGGCAGCGATCTGGCAGTGATATGCGTCTTCCATTTTGTCGCCTTTGTTAGGTCGGATCGGATCGGATCCCATCCCTTGTCAAGGACAGGCACGAACTGTGTATTTAGTATGAACGATCACTCTGCTACCAGAGGACGAGGAGATGCATCAGCGTCGAGGGGAGACTCATTGTGTAGAAAGTATCCAGACAGCTGAAGGGAGATCATGTTTTATCTTCATTGAATCGATGTTCATGAGTAACGGTTGGGCGGAAGTCGAATTTCGGAGCCGTAGCTCCGAGTGTCCCGCGCCGGAAGCATTTTTCCTAGGGAGCTGAAGGTCGACTTTTCAGCTCATCGTCTGGCATCACGACTCTCGACACCGACAACAACGACAATGAAGGTCTCTCCATGTGAGTACTTTACACTTCCTCGGGGTTGCACATGTCGGGGAGGAGCGTGTTGAGAGAATTTGGAGTGAGCGAGAGAGGAAAAGAGGGTGGATGCACATGCTTGGAAGCGGATGTCGTCCTCAGGAGCTTGCAACCCCGAGTGTTGAGTTATTGACACCAAGCTGACCTTGTACCAGCCGTCTCCGTCTCCCGCCGCAAGTCCCGCGCAGCCCACTTTGGCGCATCCTCCGATGTCAGGCGGACGATCATGTCCGCTTCTCTGTCCAAGGACCTGCGGGGGAAGCTGCACGTATGTCCACACTCCTCCGTCTTCACTTTCCCGCGGAGTCCTTGCTCACTCGCATGCAGGTCCGCTCCATCCCTATAAGGAAAGACGACGAAGTCCTCGTCGTGCGGGGTCAGTACAAGGGGCGCGAGGGGAAGATCACTCAAGTGTACCGGAAGAAATTCGTTGTGCACGTCGAGCGGATCGCGCGGGAAAAATCGAACGGGTCTACTGCCCCCGTCGGCATCCACCCTAGCAACTGCGTCATTATCAACCTTAAGATGGACAAGGATAGGAAGGCGATCCTTGAGCGTAGGGATAGGAGCAAGTCGAAGAAGGGTGAGGATGTCGAGATGGTTGACGTGAGTCCTGAGTTCTTTTTCGTCGCAGTGGGGTGTGGCTAATGGGAACATAGTAATCGACGGCTCGACGCTGAGTTTGGTCTGGTTTGGGCGGTCGGGCAGTTGGTCATCGCATGCCCAAAAGCATGTAGCATGTACACACTATGATATCATGCATATGCATAGTATTGCGTCTGATTCCACCTTGCTCCCATGACTATACCCCGAAATGTTAGCAACATCCGGTACAGCTGTCTATTTGGAGAGTGCTAGTGAGGCAGCGGTACCAAGTCTAGGTTGCAGGCTGTTATCCGCTGAGTCTGTCTTGAGTCTCGACGTCCTTTGCCTCAGCGTGCTGAGAGGGCATGATTGCACCACTGACCGTTGCCTTGTAAAGTTTCCCCGGCTGATTCCTCCTTACCAAACCTGGCTACCATGCACCCACTGCCTCAGGCGCGAAATGGCATTCTCGGCAACAGATGCGGCACACGGTTAATGAGAAGAGTGGTGCAGCATTACATTTCGTAGTTGTACAACATCCACGCTTCTTGGAAGGGGACATACATACGGGAATAGGCAAAAGAAGACAGCTAAACATAGTTAGACACCTCGATCAAGTTACCCTCCAGAACCGTCAGATTGCACGCAACACACCGCAACAAAAAATACTCACATCCGGATCCCTTGTATATACACTCCTGAGCCCGCCTACCGCTCCCGTCCGGCCAACCACACCTCCCTCAAGAATCTCCAGCCCCTCCTCTCTCCAATACTCCAGTACCCGGTCTGCCGTCGCCGGGGGTGAGAGGACGAAGCAGAGATCTTGAGTGCCTGGAAGGGGGAGGGCGGCGTGTGGCTGGTACGGGGCGGAAGAGGGGTGTAGGTTGAGCTTTTGCTGGCCGAACCGGAGTGCGTGACGTTCTCCCCCTGCGGTGTGGAAGCGCTCGTGTTTCATCCCTCTGCAGATGGTTTGGTGAGAACAGCTGGGTGGGAGGGAGGGATATGGGAACGCACAGGTATTTGGTGTACCACAGGATGGTGGCTTGGACGTCTTGACACTGGAGGACGATGTGGTCTACCCTGTCGATCTGGAATGGGCAGGGGCGTGGTACTGCGCTTGGGTTGGGGTTGGCATTGGAGGATGTGGTGGACATCTTGGAGAGGGCGCGTGTAGCAGCCCGTTGCTGAGCAGTATGCCTTGCAAGGATAGCTCGATGCATTATACTGATTAATCCGCTGATGATACAGAGCTAGTGGAGGTGAAGTGTGTCCACTGGCGACTAATCTCAATACATAGCTGATAAGATCCGGTTAAGGGCGAAATCAATCTCCCTCCAATCACGCTCGAGAACACCGCAATGACAGGGACCGAAGAATATCCGGAATGTGGAAGAGTAGGACCGAGCGAAGCACAGAAGGGAGATGGGCGGTATACCAAGATTGTACACCTGTACATAGCAAGTGCCGACATCCTGGCGCTGGCAAGTCAAGATCAGAGGCCAAATTCTACCATTCTCCCTCTCAACGGATAGTCTTCGAGCAGCCCCACTAATCTTGCACCTCCAGACGCAGTGCCGCATACCAGTGAATAATAACTTCGTACAGTGTCGCACCCCTACTCCCGCACTCTCAGCCCCTCACCTGCTCAGAAGATGACATCCGCATCCTTCTCCGCCAACAAATCCAGCGCATGCTCCGCCTCTGTCTCTGTATCCTCCACCGGTGCGGGTAAGGTCCCTTCAGCCTCTTGCTGTCTTTTGAGCGCATCGCGTGCTTCTGCATCTCGTTTCTTCTTTCCTTGGACTTTCTTTAGCCTGCGCAGGGTCAGCACAAAGCACGAGTCGAAGTGACGACCGGAGCCGCCAAATATGGAAGTGGGTGGAAAGAGCGAGAAGGAGAAGAGCACACACCGGAAGAACTCCTCCCTGTCCATCTCGTCTAGCTCCGAAATGATATACTTGATCGTATTATCTAGCTTTGGGATAATAACATGCTCGATCGCGTTCACTCTTCGGTTCGTAGTCCGGATGACTTCATCTAGGATGGTGAATGCCGTCTACCTCGTATTAGCCTAAGATGATAGTCAGTGGGGGAAGCGGAACACACCTGGAGGGAAGCGAGCTCGACGAGCGTTTCGAGCGCTTTGGCATATACTTCCCGCGCTTTTTGGATCTGCTGCCCGCCTCGGCCCAAGCCGGTAAGATTGAAGTCTGGCCCCTCGTCAACCAAGCGAACGCGCTTGAGCGTAGAGACGCACCTGTGCTGCCCTCCCTCACAGCATCAAACGCGGGTAACATAACCCCACTAACGTTCTCCTGTTTCGCCTTGACCTTGAACGTCGCGTTCTTCGCCTGCTCCTGTACGAGGTACGCAATATCCCCTCCAGCGGCATACGTCACCTCAGCCAAGCTAAAGCTCGCGAGCTGCATCACCCGCCCCATCCGGCGTTTTGCTTCGTCGACCTTACGCAAGATCCCCCGGAAACGCGTTGTTAGGGCGTCCCGTTTTCGGGAGAGGAGGGAATGACCCGTTTGTGCACCCTTTAGCCGGCCTTGCATTATGTTCAGGTTCATGCGGGTGGGGAATACTGCTTCGCGGGCGCCTTGACCGGACATGATGAGCGACTAGCAAGTGGGAGAAAGAGACGGGGAGTGGGAGAGAGTAAGGTAGGGACAGAAGATGATATCGGTGACGTTGATGAGTGCGGAGCCGAGAGAATATCCGACGCTTGAGTTATTTGCTCCCGCTGTTACCAACTCACAAGCGCTCGAGCTTTGTCTTCCGTTTACTGCTTGCTTATTGCCACCATGGCCACTGCTCTCGCAAGGTATATCAACTACAAACTGTATGAGATAGACGACTAACATGTATTCAGCTTACTACCAAAACCGCTGTACTCGACAGTGCAAGAGGAAGAGGAGCACATCGACCTTCCCGCGCCAACCCTCGCAATTGCTCCGCGCGCCCTCATCCCGCCGTACGGCCAGCGCGCGAATTGGAGACCGACGAAAGCGGATGACTTTGCAGATGGAGGTGCTTATCCCGAGTGTCATGTTGCGCAATACCCGAACGAGATGGGGAGGAAGAAGGTGCGCGAATCGGTGTGCATTATCCGTTGGGGGATGTGTGCTAATGGGAGTGCTTCCAGACTGCGGCTGGGAATACGCTTGCCCTGCAAGTCGATGCGGAGGGGAATGTTCGCTACGATGTGATCGCTACTCAGGGTCATAGGGAAGGCGTCAAAGTACAGTCTCAATTCAAAGACCTCGTTCCCCTCACACAGCGGAGCGACCTTACCCAAGCCGAGCGTTCTATGGACCTCCCGACAGAGGACGAGATCGCTGCTACTGCTGAGCGGACCAAGGCCGCGCTCGAGAAGCTCGTTAATGGGAAGATTAAGGCTGCGCAGCCTAAGCACGTCCCGGAGTCGCAGGGGAAGAGCGAGTTCATCCGGTACACACCGGTGCAGCAGAACGGCCAGGGGTTGAAGCAGCGGATCATCAAGATGTCTGAAGTTGTTGAGGACCCCTTGGAACCGCCAAGGTTTAAGCATAAGAAGATCCCCCGCGGGCCGCCGAGTCCTCCCCCGCCTGTGCTGAGGAGCCCACCGAGAAAGGCGACCGCGGAGGAACAAAAGGCGTGGATGATCCCGCCTTCGATTAGTAACTGGAAAAACAACAAGGGGTTTACGATACCCCTGGATAAGCGGCTCGCAGCGGATGGCAGAGGTCTTCAAGACGTGAGTCAAAGGTGCATTTCCAGGCTATGGCTAATGACCCGCGTAGATCCACATCAACGACAACTTTGCCAAGTTGTCAGAGGCACTGTTCGTCGCCGATCGGCATGCGCGTGAGGAAGTCCGGCAGCGCGCTCTGATGCAGCAGAAGCTTGCGCAGAAAGAGAAAGAACAGAAAGAGGAAAACCTGCGCTTACTCGCCCAGCGCGCAAGGCAGGATCGCGTTGCTCCTGCTCCGGTGGGAAGGGAGTCTGGTGCAGGGGAGAGCTCGCGTGCTGCTCCTCGGGCTGGGCTTGGGCTTGCGGACTATGGGAGTGAGGAGAGCGAGAGCGAGCCGGAAGAGGGGCGGGAGGAAGAGGATACAGAGGCTGCCAGGGTAAGAGACGAGATGCGCCGAGAGAAGCGGATGCAGCGCGAGCGCGAATTGAGGATGAACAACATGGGCACCGAGCAGCGTGCCAAGATGTTTGCACGGTATGTCCTCCCCATCCCCGCAATGTCCACGCTAACCTCCGATTGGCAGAGAACAAAACCGTGATATCTCGGAAAAGATCGCTCTGGGCCTGGCTAAGCCCAGCGTGTCAAAGGAATCGATGCTCGACCAACGGCTATTCAACCGGGACTCGCTCTCCGGTTCCTTCGCCGACGAAGAGTCTTACAACCTGTACGACAAGCCCCTGTTCCACGGGTCGAGCGCCGCAGCTGCCATCTACAGGCGGGGAGACCTCGGTGCGGGCGCAGAGGACAGTTTTGGCGGAGGGACGGAGGAGGGGATCGGCGAGGCGCTCAGGAACGATAGGTTTGGCCTGGGAGCACCGAGGAACGGGTTTGCGGGTGCGAGCGAGCAGGAGGTCAGAGAGGGACCGGTGCAGTTCGAGAGGGATGACGGGGCGGGGGCGGGGGCGGGGGCGGGGGCGGGGGCGCGGATGCGGATGCGGGCCGGGGCTGGGGGAGAAGCGGAAGGGGAAGGGGACGTCTTTGGCGTTGACCAGTTTTTGGAAAATGCGGTTAGGGGGAAGAAACGCGGGTTGGAGGAACAGGCGTGAGTCCTCGTTTGGATTCCACTTTACGTATGTGCTGATCTGGTGGAATAGGGGTGATGCGCGTAAAAGGCGACAATTGGATAAGGCGGACGAGAGGGAGGACTAGAGGTTAGTCGTGTATCAGGCAGTGTAATCATGTTATTCCCAGCTTCTTGCTTTCCCCTCGCATCTTGCACCTTACAGCGAGCACACGCATGTCCTGGAGCGTCTCCCTCGCGCGTCCCCATATCCTTCAACTGGGACGTACCGAAAGCCTGCAACACCGACCTTGCTCGCTGTCCGATGCCGCGTGTGATTCCCGGCTTGTGCTCCTTATGCGTACTCGCAAGCAACTCGTAACTCGTAACTGGCAACTCGCCTAGCACCTAACTGCAGTCCAGCACTGTACAAGTACGTCATCCTAACTGAGTCCAGGGAACTCATACTTCCGGCAAGGACGATGTTCGACGTTCGATGTCGATGTTCGATGTCAATGTTAACGTATAAGCATGCCAGCCAGATTCAGCTTCAGCTTCTCTCATGGGCAACTTGCATCGCTTGCACTGCCCTCACTTCTCTTCATTTCCATTAATCCCAACTCCAACCTGCACACTGAACGCTAAACGCTGCACGCTGCACGCTAAACGCTAAACGTCGTCCAGTAGCGTCAGCACTGTAGAATACAGTACTGGAAATATAAGCGTCCTATTCCCATTCCCAACTCGCTGCGTCAGTGTCCGTACACCTCCAACTCGCCGGTAACATATCCTACATCCTACATCCCCCCCCC